ATGATTAAGAAATAAAACAACTAATAAGTAGAAAGGAATTTGATAAAAATTGATTTTTAATAAATACCATTCTTAAATATTGAATGTTTTATTCCTAGTATTGGGAACAAAGTAAGGCTCTCAATGTTTTTATGAATATTCCAAGAAAGAAGAAGCAAAAAATTGGAAATGAAGAAGTAAAATATTTTTAAACATGATACCAGTAAGAATAAATTTTCAGAAACCAAGCAACCTCCATCCTGACAACTGTAAAATACTGCTTAGAGAAGTTAAAGACAACCTATCTAAAGAGGAGACTTGCCATATTCATGGACTAGGGGGTACAGGATTGGTAGGATGGTACTTCTTTCCAATGATGTATGAATTGAATTCAATCCCAATTGTAATTTTGTCATATACTTTTTTCTAAAAATACAAGTTGACAAACTCATCATATTTATACATTAAATTTGTACAGCTTTTGGCATGTCAGTCATAACTCAATGAAGTAACTTTGAAAAGAGAAAGAAACTAGTCAGGCCTGATGGCACATGCCTGTAATCTTAACTCTGAGAAGCTAAGGCAAGAGGGTCGCAAGTTTCAGCCTAGCCTCGGCAATTCATCAATTTAACAAAACTGTCCAAAAATAAAGATATAAAAGAGAGGTTGGGGATTAGCTTAGTGAAAAGGTCCTGAGTTTGTCCTCAATGCTTATAAAGAAACAGAAGAAAGGGAGGGAAGGAGAAAAAAGGAAAGAAAACAAAGTGACTTTAGACATCAATCCACATTCATGTAGTCTGTTTTTTCAGAGATCCTAAAAGCGTGGGGAAAGAAATTCTTAACTAACAGTGCTGGAGCAACGAGATATCCATATGGGACAGAATAAACCTCTTAATGAATTTCCTAAGTGTAAATGGAAAAAGTCAAAATCTTTTGAAAGATAACAGGAGAATACCTTTACAGCTTGAGTACAGGCAAAGATTTCTTAGATCTTTGAAAGTAATAACCATAAAAGAAAGTCAGTACATTAGACTTAATTAAAATTAAAATTTTCTCATCAAACTACTACACTAAAGAAATGCCAAAGCAAGTCACAGATGTCAAGAAAACATTTGCAACACATGTATCTGACAAGGAGCCAGTGCCTTGCATGTATAAAGATCTATAGTGCAATGCTTTGCTTTTTTTTCTGTTAAAAAAGAGAGCCCAGTTAAGAAGTGTTCAAAAGATGTGAATAGATTCTTTACATGCAAGATCTACAAAGGCCAATAACATTACATTAGTCATCAGGGAAAGATAAATTCAGACCAGAATATTACCAAAAATAAAACAGCTAAAAATAACAAGAAAATTAAAAAGACTGGCAACCCCAAGTGAGACCAGCATTACACAATCAAAGGAAACAACTGGAACTCTCATATTTTGTAGGAAGTATAAAATTGTGCATCCACTGGGAAAATGGCAATTTCTTAATACATCTAAGCTTACACCCAACATATGACCCATGAATTTTAGGTATTTTCTGTCCACAAAGTAAAAGCATATATCCACAAAAAATGTACAAGAATGTTCACAGAAGCTGTTCATTAACAGAATATGGGTAAACAAATTGTTATGTAAAACTCATCATGATGCAGTAGAATTATTGTAGTTGATTGTCCTGGTTTGCCTGGAAGATTTTTCCAGAATGTGGGCCTTTCAAAGTGCTAACCCTTGGAAACTCCTGAGCAGGAAGACTTGGCCAACCCTCAGCAATAAGGACTGGCCACTGACAGGTCCAGCAACTAAAGTAAACTTTAAAAGCACACTAGTGAATGAAGCCTACAAGAGTGCATGTTCTGCAATTCCACTTATGTGAAGTTCTGGAGCAGTAAAAACTAAGTTGTTAAAAAAGAAGCAAAAGGGTTTTTGTGTCTGGGGGATTGTCCAATGAAGGGAAGGGTGTGTGGGAACTGTCTGAGTTGATGGTAATACTCTATATGTGGGTAGAGATTCGGGTTACACAGATGTATACCTTTACCCAAACCTAATCAATGGTAAGTTAAGGTTTTTGCATATCTGTATTCTAAAAGCATCTATAAGCAAACACTGAAATGAAATTAATAATACAAATATTACAGTGTTCAGAAGTACGGCACAACTCTATTCATGAATATGGCATGTCTTAAAAAGGGGACGTGGGGTGTCAGAGATGGAGGAAGGAAAAGAATCATTCCTAAAGAGTGGCTCCTGAGTGAACGAATGTTCTGCTTCTGAGTCTACTCCCTTTAGGAAGCTTTTCAACTTTTTGATAAGAGTTTCAACATTTCTAGATCCTTATTTTTAATTTAAAAAATTTTAAATTTTGTAATCGTTTGTAGGATGAATCTTGCTTTGTTTTCTACATCAGGGGGCTTCTTTAATTGCTTTGTGCTTGTAATTTGCTACCGGTTGTTTTGTCTTGTTTTAATAAATTCATTGGTATTATTGTTTGATCTTTTATCTTTTTAGAAAAGTTTTTCTAGTACTTACAAATGAAGATGTCTGCATATTATAGAATATAGTGTTCTAGTAGTCATTTTTTTGAAACAGTGATATAAAATTCTGTGATTCTTTCAGGTAATGCTTACACATTTTCTTCTTTCTTTAATAATATAACACTTTTAAAATTAAATCTGACCCACAGTGAAAGTAATCATTATGTATGTACTGCAAAAATGTACTAATAAAAAAAAATTCAATCTGAGGGAGGCAAGGTGGCTTGCCTTGTAATCCCAGATACTCAGGTGCCTGAGGAGAGTTCGCTTGAGCCCAGGAGTCTGAGCCAACCTGAGAAACACAGCAAGACCCCATCTGAAAGAAAACTGCATGTTTTAGATGAACTTTTTATTAACATTATTTTTTAGAATTCACTGAAATAATAATGCACATTGCAGAAAATTAACCTTATTTTTTTTCAAATTTAATCTTTCCTGGGTTTTATTGTTACAAAAACTTTTTATTATTATAGTAAGTTAGCTCAAGGAATGTACTCTTTAATATTTTTCAAAGTACCTTTCATCTTTCAGTGCTTCCTTCCTACAAGCCTCTAAAATGCATTGTTCTTATCAGGAAGTCAGTTACAATGATTCTCAAACTTGTACCCTTCTGGTAACAAATATTTGTAATAACCTGTTTCTATCCTGAAAATAATGGATTTTCAAAGTACTACACATATAAAAATTTAATATAAAGTAGAAATACATGTGAGTCTGATTTATTTCACTTAAATGAAATAAGTGAATTCGCTTAAGTGAATTAAGTGAAATAAATCAGACTCGCATGTATGAACATTGTATTGTCTCCCTAGTGTGAGAAGCTGAAACAATCAGTAAGATCCAGGATGTTCAATAGAGATTGTGAAATGGGAAGAAACTGCTCAAAAAGAAAGAAAAACTGAGATGGGGAAGGAGGAAAAGAAGAAAAGGAAAAGTGGGGAATTATATATATATAATTGTATATATATATATATATATATATATATATATATATACAAGATAGTTGAATTTTTTTATTTTTTCTTTTTAAATAAAAATAAAAGACCAATAATTCTGCTCAAAAAGCAACATAATAGGACTTACAGATATTTTTAATAATTTTTGTCTAACATCAAGTGCTGGTTATTAATGAAATTTATAGCTGGGGATTTAGCTCAGTGGCACAAGCACTTGCCTGGCAAGTGCGAGGTCACAGAGTTCAACCCTGTACAAAATAAAATATTAATAATGAAATTTATAAAGAAAAAATGTGATAAATTTCTGTGATTTATAAAAAAGGAAATAGAAGGAAAGTAATTGATATTTTAGTGGAGCAGCTGCAAAGACTGTGTTTTGTGTTGGTCATATACACCACAAGCATTTTTGCTGTCCAGCATTTTGTTGTCAATGTCATGATACTCTCAAATATTTGAACAATTCTTGATAAAATTATGAGCAAAACAAATTGCAAGTTTCCATTAGTTTGTATATTACGCCTATGTGTTTCTCAAAATGTTAGCATGTATTTGAACTATGCAAACAAAGTTTGTTTTAATGTAAACCAGAGTTTGGGTTCTGGCCCAGATCACCCTTTGGTTTTCCATCTTCCTGAATATCCAGGAAGACATCCCAAAGTTAAACAAGTCACAGAGCCTGTGGAGAATTCCCCATGAGTTCCCAGCCATCTACCATCCCTGCTCTTCATGTGATAAGTGCCATAATTACTGCTTAATCACTCACAATACCATGTTGGGTGTTACTTTGTAAGTGATCTCTTTGACAGTGATTTCCTTTCTCAGAAAAACAGTTTTAATACACAAGATAAAATATATAGGATTACAAAGGAAAACAGTAGTACTGAAACACAGGCCTTAGATAAAGAATACCTGCAAGAGGTGCTGTCACACCCTGCTCCAGTGTGTACACCACATCTGAGGACCACCAAGTTAGAAGGGCTTTCTATATTTGGGAAAATGGTGAAAGCCATACATTCAAAATGTTGCAAATTCGAGAGTACTTCTGGATCATTTTGGCATCAACATAATGGCCTCGACAGAGGACTAACATCATCTCTCTAACAGAATGGTGTGGATAGCTTAGGAACTGAATTTCTATTTTAATTTTATGTTGGAAACTAAGTGTATCAAATGGACTAACGCTTCTAATTTGCCATTATGACTAACCTACTTCTCTAATTAGCTTCAATTAAAGTTCAGATCATTTGCCAACTTGTTTATTCATATATTACTTATATGAATAAGATAACCTTGGCAGAACAAAATCTTCCTCCAGCTGCCATTCAGCAGACTGGCAAAGAACTTACGCATATTAACTTACACATATTAAACACAATACATAATTCTAGAAATATGAATTAAAAGCCAGGATAATTGGGTTTATTTCAACAGATGTCCACTCAGTACTCTCTAGGAATGCTTTCCAAGATGTGACCATGTTTTTTCCATGGATGACTACCGTCATGACAAATGTGCAGAATATCGTGACGATGATTTTCATCTCTTTTAGGGTATGTCTCTATGCCAGACTGTCGTCGTAGGCTCTGTAGTCATTCTTCTCTACTCTTCCAGAGCCTGCTATAATTTAGTGGTGATTACCATATCTCAGAATACATTAGAAAGTCCATTTAATTATGGCTGGGATAATCTTTCAGATAAGGTAAGTACCGACCACACATTGCCAATGTACAATTGGTAGTTGACAGTACAAGTGACATTTCAGTTGGCCTTATCTGGAACATTTTAGTGTTTGACTTACACTTTCATGGAATCTCTGACATCCATAATCATGCTTAAAGCTTTGCTTAAATATCTTCATTTACATGTAACAGTTGAAATCATTCTTCCAAGAGAACTTTTCACTTTTCTTATTGCAAATAATAGTGTAATAAACCTCCTGGTCATAAATCTAGTTTACTAAGTTATAAAAGGATGTTCCAGAAAAAAAGGATGATGTTTAAATATGTCTAGATTAATTGCCTAATATTAATACTGTTGAATACATGTCTTTAATTTATTAGTATAAAATTACCTCTCCCCTACCCAAGAACCACATAAAACCTGAATTCGTGTTGTAGTTTGAAAATGTAATGCGTTTCTTACAACATTGACATTAATAATTTTAATAACAGAAAAAAACCTTCCTCACTTCTTTGGTGTCCAGGAGCTTGATATAGTAATTCTGATTATTACCTTTCCTCTCGTCATCGCCTTCCTAAAAGTACAGTTTGACATAGCTGCAGATCACAGCTTTTTATTAACTTTGTACTGAATTCGAGGCAGCCAAGAGTACCCTTTTCCACTTATCTAAGGCGAAGGAATTTCCTGTGTGTTTCCATGTGGCAGAAGGTTTCACTCCTTTCCCCATTTCCCGCTCGCTACCTATGTGAGAATAGAACCAAGGGCAATAAGCACCTTAGACCCCAGAGCTTGTGTGATGTAACAGCCGAGCCAAGTGACTGGCCACGCTGTGCTTGTCCACGGGCCTCACTTCTGCTGCCCCAGGGCAGCAGCTGGAGTAGTCACTCCTCGGACTTAAGGGCCCCTAAGTGAGATGCTCCTTCTTATCCAAAGATTAAAATTACTGTCCATCAGTTGATGCATTAAGAGTTAGCAGCTTTTATCCTACTTAACATCAAAGCATGTGCTGTCCCTTAGAGGAAAGGTATCATTACATGAGAAAGCACATTTGAACTCTCTAAAGAGAAGCGAGGTAATTGCAGGTCGCGAGGCTTGTACATAAAGCAGGAGTCAAAACAGCTCTGCGGTCCTCTGTTCCAGGCTCATGTAGAAGACGTAAGTGGAGAAGACTACATAGTATTTGGAATGGTCCTCTTCCTGTGGGAACATGTACCAGCATGGTCAGTGGTACTGTTTTTCCGGGCACAGAGATTAAACCAGAATTTGGTATGATATCATAATATCCCCCAATGCTTGTTCTTATTTTTAAACAATATTGAATGTTTATATTGATTTCGTTTTGGAGCAAAGTTTAAAAATTATGATAGTCTAGCCTCCTTCCTTAGTTGAATAGCAAGCCTTCATCTACCTTCGAATATTCTGTCCTCAGGCTCCTGCTGGCATGATAAACAGTCACAGTTACAGTTCCAGAGCTTACTTCTTCGACAATCCGAGACGATATGATAGCGACGACGACTTGCCAAGACTGGGAAGTTCCAGAGAAGGAAGGTAGATGTAACAGCATCGTGTATCCTGATGGTACTGACATAGACAGAAAGGGCCAGATTTCAGTTTATCCCAAGTGTGGAGCAGATGGGATAAATAAATCCTAGAACCCCAGAGCTTAAGGTGATAGATTGTAAACATGTGGTGGGACCTCAGCTGTAAAGAACCACCATCTGACTCAAAGGCTGTATGTAGCATTACCTTTATTTGAGAAATGCCTTTGGGGTTGAAATGGCCCCATTTTGCTTCAGAACCCCTTGGTTCAGAACTGGGGAGGGGATAAGGTAGATGTATAGGGAAGGATGATTATTATACCGATTATGTCTGTTTCTGTATCCTTCGTCTGTTCCAAGTCCACAAAAGCACCCTAGATAAAACTCTTGGGAAGCTTGGATGCTCTAAGAACCCTTTCCAGCCCCTCCCATTCCAAAACCATTTAAGCCCTGAAGTCCAGCCTATGGTTAGCTATTCATCAGGGCAAAGAGAAAACCCTAAGGCACACTTAAGTAATTATTTCAGCTTGATGTAACGGTTGGTAATTTTACTTTCTTTTGGGGGGGAGTCTTTTTTTCATTTTTATCGGTACTGGGGCTCGAACTCACGACTGCCTGCTTGTAAGGCAGGTACTTATGCCGCTGAGCTAAGTCCCCAGCCCCTGGTAATTTTACTTTCTCTGGACTACTTAACTTGCTTTTTGAGCTGGTTTTTACCTGTGAGGCAGAGATGATAGTAGAACCTCTTATGTTTGTAGTGAGGATTAATGAGAATAGAAGAAGATATATAGACATCTTAGACTAAACCTTGTACATAATAAACACTGTATCATTTTACTATTATTATAGTAAATTCTACCCGTTCTAAGAGGCATGTATTCTTTTGTAATGTGTGATACAGATCAAAAATACTAGGTAAAACTCATTAAATTTTGTGGAAAGTTACTCTGTTGAGGAAGAGCCTATGTAGACATGGTACTGTATTTGATGCTGCTCAGAGTTCACTGACAGTGTGAAAGATGCCCGTGTTGCTCATCATGTCCTGATGAGCGCCATTCGGCTTCTTTGCCCTCTTTGTTGCAGTTTACCTAATTCGCAGAGCTTGGGCTGGTACGGCACCATGACCGGGTGTGGCAGCGACACCTACACGGTCACCTCCCACCTGAATGGACCCATGGCAGACACTGCGCCTTTGCTCTTTACTTGTAGTAATTTAGATCTGAACAATCACCATAGCTTATATGTGACACCACAAAACTAATGGCATTTCCCAGTCGCGAATCGAGACTCGTCTTTCATGAATGCGTCTATTCAATGTGTTTAAATTTCATCTGCATAAACACTGCACCTGAGAACGGAATCTGGAAAGGTGGCTGTGTGATGGAGAACACAGCTGTTTGTTTTGACCTCCACGCAATCAAGCAAAATGGACAGTTTGGAGTAAAAGAAAGATAAGATCTTAAGGCACTTGATTTCCTCCAGACAGCCTGACTTTGGAACGTCAATTGCATATTTGCACTTTTATCTGTGTTCTGACAGAGTACACGGCAGTGCCCAAAGTCATACTCCAGTGTTCACACTGGAATATTCTTGTACACCAAATTGGAAGGCATTTTTTTTCTACGAAAAGCAAAGCCTATATTTTCATTGGTGTACTGTGTCCAGAATCCTTCCCTAAGTAAGTTTTAGAGTGTGAGTAGTGCACAGTTAAAGCATAAACATGTATCATCATCCTCAAAAACCTACTAAAACATGTAATTACTGAAGACAGTTCTTTGAAGCATGGTTTTAAAATACTAATTGAAAGTATTCAATCATTTTAAATAAATGGTAGTAGTAACCCTTTACAGTGATGAGCAGCAGTGTTCTTTGGAAAGCCACAGTGATTTCTTCACAAGGAAAATAATAGCAGTGAAAATTGTGGCTACTTTGAGTAGGATTGGTCAAGTGATTCTTTTGTATGATTAAGATATACAGTACATAGTAGTTTAAGCATGATTATTCAAGAAAGCAATAGTGATTTTCACATAGGGAGATTTTGGTAGATACTTCTTGGGACTAAACAAGTTTTCATGAAAGGTACAATTCTAAGTTAAAACAGAAATACATTTTCAAAAGCATTAGATTTATCTGAAATACAATGTAACTGATTTTACCCATTGAATCAGGATTGTCCTCAGGTAAATTAAGTCATGGTACATTATTGTAGTGAACTAAAGTGCAATACTTTGTAAGACATATATATATAATTCCTTTAGTTTTGTTTTATACCTTCAATTTGGGCAAAGCCAAAATAAACCAAAATCAAATTAATTCTAGCATTGAATTAATTGGGCAAACATAAAAATGTACAAACTTGGTACATATAAAACCAGAAACAATAGTGAATACTTCTACAAATACATTAAAACTGTCTTAAATTTCCTACCCCGTAATTCATATATATGGTAGGCTAAGACAAAACAGAATTTTAAAATGCACTTTCTACCAATGTCTATATGGAAGTAGATGCTGAATACCTCAAGATGCCAAGAAAAAAGGCAACATTTAAAGTTGTCAAAATGTGTTTAAAGATAATCATAAAATTCTTTGCTATCTGTCTTCAAAACTGGAACTAATAGAATTATCCTATCTTCTACTTTGATTAGTTGTTTTATTTCTATTTTTACTTAAAATATGTCTCAGCTTTTTAATAACTGATACATAAAGTTTAAAAGTAACATCAGAAAAGTTTAACAGTAGGTAAAATGAAATAAAAAATGAAATTGTTAATGCTGTTTTGGGTGGTTGATACAAAGCAAAATAAATTCTTTTTATGATTCAAAGGACTTTAAATTCAATCAGAAGCATACTAATAGTTATAAGTGTTATCTGGAATTTGTTTATAAAAAGCTCATTGTAACCAAATTACTCAAAATTTTACAGTACAGGAGTTAACTATGATATTGATAACAGTATTTTTTACAAGTTTTTTCAGTTACTAATTTCTTTTGGAATGCACCTATTTATTTTACTGATGATGATATCTATCTAGAGATGGGTCTGAAAAGATCTGTATATTCTTTGGTAATCCATGGGTTCAAGGTGATAAATTTTTTCTAATAAAACCTCCTAAATGAAGTTCCTATTTGTCCAGATAAAGATTACTTTAAAATTGTTTTTCATACAAAACAACTTAGTTCCTTTTAGCTGTATTAGTTGATTGTACTAAATTTGAGATTTGTGAATTTATAACTAGGGTACCTAAATTCTTGCATTTGTCTCCTTATACACATCTCACACAATAGCTCACCAAAGGAAAAAAAAAAAAGATAAAACTCTGGCCCAATTTTTGCTTAAAAATTCCAAAGCACTAGGAGCACTTTAAGTTTGGTCGCAAAAGAAGTTGTTTATAAAATCAAAGGGCTACCAATTCCCTGTCCACCCTGCACTGAAGCACACGATGACAATTTCACACCTTCCTTTTGTGTTAATTTATGAAGTGGATCTCATTGCTTCCATGTGTATCTCTACAGTGATTAGCTATATTTGTTTTTATAACTTCAGTTAGTTGGCCATGAACTTTGAAACTCTTACCACTCATTCTAGCTGGTTGTAGTTTTATGGAAGATGTAATTTACAGCACTAGTGGGTTTTTTATGCATAGCTGCCTTTTTATTGTTTAACAGTGTTCCTCAGCTATATAATCAGTTCCCAACTGGTTGTAAAAGTATAGCTGAGGCCAATGAATGTATTTGTTTGTTGTTTCCCTTAATTGTAACAAAACACTACTGTTAAAAATAAAAGTGTTTGTGCTTTTATTTGAATGTCTGGTTTCCTGAATCTCCTTTAATGGGCTCTACTGAGTTTATATTACACAGGTTAAGGACCTGGTGTTACTATAGGAAAAAAATATCAAGTTACAAAGACTAGTTTGCTTTGATGGTCTCATCACATCTGAGTGTCACAGACACCAACTTGATAGGGAATGCCTTACACTTTTAAAATATCAATGTTACTAGAAAGCACATAATTAGTCAAGAATTAAGCTACAAAAACCCTTGTATAATTTATACCATCACCCTCTTTTTCCTTTAGAATCTTAAACAAGAATCCACACATGCAGCATACCCTAACTACTTTTTATTATTGAAGAAGCTCCTCAGTGATGCTGCCATTGCCAAGGAAGATCCCTTCCAAAGCCCACCAAAACCACAACATAATTTGAATATAACTTCAGCTTCATTGATTTCAAAAAGCCTCCAAGTCTTTGGAGTCTACTGACCTTTGCTGTGAAGTAAGGGAGTGAAGATATGACTTCTAATAAAGTTGTCACTTTAAAAGCAGTTTATTCAACAAATATTTATTAAATGTTTATATGCCAAAAAGTATGCTATAGAGATGCCAAAGTAAACAGATTTTTTTTTCCTGCTCTTGAGGAGCTCACACTCTAATAAAGGAGATCTCTCAAAACAAAAATAATATAGTACAATAAGTGATTCAGTAGAGGTAGGTTGTAATTACAGTGGTGACACAAAAGTTAGATTCTCTTGAATGAAGGAGGGGAAATTTCAGATCAGATGCTGATGCTGAACCTGCAAGGATGCATGGAATTTTCTGGTGGAAAGGATAGCTAGGACACGATGTAAAAAGTACAGTATCCATCTAGGTACGGAGAGCTGGCTACACAGGCATCTGAAAGACTGAGTCTGCTTTATTAGAACCTTGGGTGGGGAAAACAAATGAAAAGACCTTGTGTAACAAGCTAAGAACTCCGGCTGTCTCCAGGCAGTATATGAGGTCACGAAAGGGTGTTAAGCCAAGTAACATTTCCAGAGTGCATCTAGGGGGCCTAATCTAGTGACATTGTGGAACCATGAGATAGGTTATAAGGAGACAGGTTCATGTAGTCCTTCTGGAACCCGCAATGAAAATGCAACAGCAGAGTTGCATGTATCAGAAAGATAGACACAAAATCAACAGAACTTAGAGCTAAGGCAAGGCGAGGAATGAGCTGAGAAAATCGTGGTCCTGAAATTAAAGTGTAAGAAACACAGGCACAAGAGTAGGTGTGAGAGAACATGTGAAGACACATATAGTGTACACTGATTATGACACAACAATGAAAAAGCCTGATAACATTTAAGGAATCAAGGAAAAGGCCAAAAATAAGAGGTTTAGGAGCAAACAACATACAAAGTGATCAGAAGTTGGGGTTATTTGTTTTCAGTTTTTAGTGGAAACTAGTCAGAAAAGGAAATGGCTTGTGAGCTGAAATGTAGATTTAGAATTAGGGTTTTAGACTTTGCAGGTAAGGACTGATAAGGACACAGGGCTAAACGCCAGCTTTTAGTTAAGGAGCAAGTGAGAGGTGGCAAAGTGAGGAAAGACTGGCACTGGTAGGCGACATCTGAAGGCCAGGGAGGTATATACACAATTCCCATTAAGCCATTACCACTTTTCCAGAGTACAAATGTCCTTAAAGTTTTATACACACTGATCACTCAAGAGTCTACAAGAGGACCTGACTTAATTAGCAAGTTAATGGCTTTCTTCTCTGCCCTATTCAGAGAAAATGAGTGGAAAAAAGAAAACAGGATGCTTATTGTTAAACTTCACTCTGTAATTATTCATTTAAAATACACTAAAAGCATATTACATCCATTCAACAAATATTTATTGGATAACAACGATGGTGCTTGGCACCATACCAGGCCTTAGGGACACAGACAAAAAAGTATTTCGCAGTGTGAAGTGGCAGTTCTAAAATGTTACATAAACAAACTCTGATTTACTAATAATGTGATATCTCACCATGTTTTACCTGCTCAGACATATGTAAAGAAGGTACATAATTTTGAGGTATACAATTTTTTCCCCTACAATCACTATGCGATATGTATTCTTAACCTGTTCAAATATTTTATTAGAATTTCCACTAATAAAAACCTCCCAAAATTATAGCTCAGTTGTACAGAGGCAAAAGAAACTAATTTCATTAAAACATTAACTTCATAAAAAATAAAAATTATATACTCTAAGACTATAGAAATCAAACATAAAAAGAACAACTAAACTAAAAAAGAACTTTAGATTGCAACTGGAAATGATTCCATTTTAAGACTTACAGAATTGCAGTAGGGATTTTTTTCTGAGAAAACAATTTTTAGAAAATTAACATTACATGGCGTATTTAGGATTAGAGGGGCATGATATGTGTAGCTGACTTTCAGATGATCAAAGGAAAAAGCATGGAGCGAGAGCATAATAGACAAAGCAAATGTGAACAACTGGTGAATCAGTAGAAGTCCTTTGTACTATTTTTGAAACTTTTCTGTAAATTTTATATTATATAAAAATAAAAGGGCTCCCCAAATTTTCACTCATTATTAGGGAAACTACTATGATAATATATATTCTATTCAGCTTTTTACAATGCTTCCAAATCTCCTGTGCCTTTAAATTGTTCTCAATTTGACATGCTGAAACAACCTACTTGAAATAGCAATTTAACTCTAAAAGTGATGTTTTCCATACCAACATACTTTAGGGTTGTCAAATAACGCACAGGACCTTCAGTTAAAATTTGAATTTCAAACAAATAATGAGTAATTTTTCTATAAGTATGTTTCAAATACCGCATGCAACATATTTTAAACTAGTTGTTTATGTGAAATTCAATTCTAAGTGGGCATTCTGCATTTTTACTTCCTAAATCTGACAACTCTGAACGTACTGAAAACTTCTGCACAGAAGTATTGTCCCTAGTATTGTCCTATTAAACACTTGTCACATTTGCCACAGTTTCATCTTTATTACATCTTCTCACACAAAACTCTAGTTTGAGACTTAAAACATCATCCACCTGATTCAGCATAAAAGAATCTAATAATCCTTTTAGTCAATATTAAACTTTAAAATTTGTACCACATTATCAAAGTATTCTATTCACAATAATATTAAACATAGACAGGACAATTTAAAAAATGTTTACTTAAAACAATATAATTTTCCTCTTATAAAAGCAGCTTAATATAAAATGTCTGTCATTCTGTCATTGCTGTTACACCTTTGAATGAGTTCCACTCTTTGGCCTCCGTTTCCCAGAAACAGGCTTATTTCAAGTCACTGTCCTTAATGAACACTGTGTAACAAGTTCCTGAAGTTTTGTAATTCTTTCACACTTGTAGAAATTCTGAAATCAAAATGTATTTCACTTAAAAACCATCTTAAATGTTCTGTGGAAATAACTCAGTTTGCATCTTTAGAGCACAGAAAAATTTAAAATTGATTTACATACATTTTCATTTACTGAAGTAAATTATTTTAATGTATTTTACTTAATATGGTAAAAGTATAAAAGTATTAAAATATACACATGTGAAATAGATATTGAAACATTTATGTACTTTTATAACCGTGTTCATTTACTTCATACTAAAATACATGAGTAGTATAAAATACATAAATATGAGTATTAAAATGCTAAGGCATTTTAAGTGTAATATATTCATATGCTTAAGATTCAAGTCTGTAACAGTTAAGACTAGAAACAAACATTAAAATACATATTTTAAATATTCACAAGTATACAAATACTTTAAAATAATATGCTGTTATTTAGTACATATGCAAAGAGTCAAAGCTATTGGTCTAATAAAGAGAATGTAAATGAATGTGTAATCAAAATACCACGAAATTGTATAAAAAGTAAAGTTTATTCCTTGTTATTTGGGGCAGGGTTATGTCTGATTTTAAGTGCACTTTAGCTGCGCTCTCCAGCCTGTGAAAGCAGCAGAAAGGCAGTGAAATGTAAGCGTCACGCTGCTGGGAGCTCTAGAAGGGAAATAACCATGCTGGCCACTTATTCCAAGGCCAAAATACTAAACCACACGTTTTTAAGTGAAGAAACACAGGTCTTAAAAATAATGTTAATACTGGGAGCCAGAGATGCATCTCAGTGGTAGATAACTTCCCTAGTGTGCGTAGAGCCCTGCTTCAACCCCCAGCCCCACAAAAGTATTTTTAAGGAGTTTTATGAATCTCAGCATTCCTTCCACTGAGGAGCCAGAATGAAGCATATCTATAGACAAATTTATACACCACCGCTGGTCCTGGGAGAACCCACGGAGCACCAAGCTGCACCTCCAGTCCTGTGCGGCTGGCAAAGGCCTCACTGAGTTGCCCCAGCTGGCCTCAGACTTTGGCTTCCCCTTCTTCATCCTCCCAAGTGTCTGGGACTACAGGTGTGCACATCACACCCATCGTATCCTCAGAGTTTCTGATGTATGTTCCTTATTTCGTACTTCCTGCCAATCATTTTTGCAGGAAATAAGCATTTTAAGAATTATTAATACTTTTCTATAATGGTGAGTTCACAGAGAAACCTATATATACACCTATATTAAACAACATGATTTTTCTAGACCTTCAAAAATAATGGACTGCACCAAAAAATGCTTTTAAACAATTATTAAAAATGTATAATTCAGCTCAGTGGCATAAGCACCTGCTTTGCAAGCAGGAAGTCGGGAGTTCGATCCCCCGTACCGAGAAAAACAAAACAAACAAACAAACAAACAAATGTATAATTCAATAGGTGAATACTAGTATCCAATCTATAACTTACTCAAGAAATAAGAATCAATAGATGAAAAATCATCTAATAATAGTATGTGTCAACATACTTGAGGTATTTCATAAGATCATATAATTCTCTAAGATTATTGCACTAAAAAAGCTGTTTTTTACCTAATTTCACCTGAGAGTACAGATGTTGCATTAGATTTACTTAGCTGGCAGAAAAAGTCCACATTCAAACTAACCTTCCAAATGCATTAAATAGTGACACAATTTCTTGTCTAGTTAGATGAAATTCATAACTGGGTCCACTTTCTGGCATATTTGCTATCAATTTCTCAGAAAATAAGATCTTCAGAGCAGTACCCAAACCTTGAGTCTGTAACAGAAATAGGAAAATTAAGAAAATTCATGCAAAGGGTCAATGAGAAGTAAAAATGAGCTTGATTTGCTTACCTGAAGCTTTCCCCACAGCCGACATTTAAAACAACCAACACAATCCATGATCCTTGAAATATTTCTAAAATGCAGCCGAAAGTCCTCCTAAAAACAATTTACAAAGTTTTGTTAAGATGTGCTGTGTAGCCAGGGATTTAGTTCCGTGGCTCAAATGCCTGCCTGGTAAGCGCAAGGTCCTGAGTTCGATCCCCAGTACCAGAGGGGGACGGGGGAGAGATGTGCTGTGTAGGCCTAGGGATGCATGCAGCTCAGTGGTACAATGCTTGCCTAGCATATGCAAGGCGCTGGGTTCAACCCCCAATACGAAAAAAAAAAACAAGATGTAATATATAGTCATCTAGTAAGTATTTTCTGAGTGCCTTCTATGTATTTAAGACTGGGCAAGATACTATAGTACCAATAACAGAAAAGAACTAACATTTATTGAGTGTCTCCTTCACACCAGTCTCTACAGTACAACTGTATTTCCTCATCACCCAAATTTTAAAAAGTAACTATTACTATAAGCTACCCCTTGTGGATTAAAAAAAGACTCAGAGAAATTAGGAGCCTTACCTAACCTCCCACTGAGCACACAGCAAACTCAGAACCCAGGCCTGCCTGACTGCAAAGCCAAACCGTCTGCCAAAACGTAAAAAAACAACTGAGCTGAGGAGCCCTACTGTATGTAATTATTAACTACCCATCCGCTGTGGCAGGACAGGAGTTAGAAGACACTATTTGCCAAAACAGAGAAAGGGAGGGATAAAAGGAGCCAAAGCTCTGGTTTCACAATAGTTAAGTTACAGTTCTCCTTTTTGCGGTTAATTAGGTAAAAGCAGATTTTCTCATTATTAGTAGTAACATAATTATTACTACGAAAATACTCTAAATACTATAAACATCCATGTACCCACCACCAGGTTTTAGAAAGAAACCATTCCAAGTACAATGAAGCTCACCATGCGTCCCTCTAAACCGCTGTATCCCATCCTCCGCTGTTATGCTGAACTTGGGTTTCCTGCTCCTTGTTTGTCTGTATTTACTACACAGTCATATATCCAGGCACATTGGGGTACTACATTGCTTATAACAGAGGCATCTGGCTCACCCAAAAGTAGTCTATGGCCTTGAGGAACAAGAAATAAAAAGAAGGGAGGCCAAGAACACATCCTCCTTTTACTACAGAGGGAATTATTAATTGATTCTCCAAGGAATTCACTCTGTCCTGGACCTAAGAGTGGAACCCTAAGCTTCCAGAATTTTAAGCAGAAAAGCAACATTCCAGATATAACACCAATTATCCCACTTGGTCTATAATTTAAAAAGCATAAAATGTGCTAAAGTATACAGGGACTCAAAGAGAGGAAAACAGGACCACAGGTCCAGCACTGAATAAACAATCAAAGACTGGCATCCACTCCACTCAAAACGGTCCTAAGTTTCTTTTGGAGATAGACTTTCTCCTGATGCTGCATTTAGCTTGAGACTCGGAAACAGCCATAACATGGAAAAGATTTGTAATAAGATCCTAGATCTTTTAGTTCACAGAAATCCCAAACTATAAATATTGTTTCCACATATTAATATTCGCTGTGCTGTTCAGTAAAAAATAATCTAATTTGAAGTCTACTATTCAAAAACACTATCCATTATTATTCCAGATAGATGTCATGATTTAAGGTGTCCTTTAAACTAGTGTTTTGACCTCGGCTTAAAGAAAAATCACACTTCAAACGGTAATAAGGTGACTATAAAGCACATGTCCGCATCCTGCAAGCTATACAGACCTCTAGAGTATTTAATAGCTGTTGTTAAGTCTACAAAATCCATATTAAGATTACATAGAGATAGAATAAATACTTCCCACATAGGATCTATAAATATCCAAATGAATATAAATGAGCAATAAAATACAACTTTTACTTTAAGCTATTACCGACTGCATAGTGGCTTTTGGGCAATTATATATTTTCACGATCAATAGATACTAAAAATATACTCATGGGGAAAAGCTTTAAAAGTGTTTGACGTTAAGAGATTCTAACACTTGTAAAGGCTGAATGCCTGAGTTCTAGAAGATCACGCTTGTTTCATACACTGTCTAATTCAGTATTCAGATCCATGGTAATTCAGTCCTCTGAGGGTGGCAGTTCTTGGGTCAATCTTTACATGCCATGTATAGAAAGCACGTATGCTTGCTTTCAGCAGCCTGGTCAACACTGTAAAATTCAAACTAGTGCAAAAATAGCATCCATCTTCTGCCTGAGTGACCATAATAGGCTGGAACCAAATGGGCTACATTATGAGAACTGGAGAAAATCCCCAACTCCCATAAATAACAATTACAGTAAATAACCTGAGTTTATCTTGGTTATCTCAGAAAATTTAGGATCCTCAAAATAAACAGAACCTAACAGACTGACAGATTCTCCTTGTACAGATGTAGTTTTAGGTCACCATTTTATTTTTCTATTATAAAGAAATGAGGTCCCACACTGTCGCTCATGTTCACCTCAAACTCCTGGGCTCAAGCGAACGCCTCTACCTCAGCCTCTGGAGCGGCTGGGACAACAGGTGTGTATAACCACAGCCAGCTTTTCAGTTATTTTTACTATGGTTATTTGGCACAATAATGAAATGTACTGTGGTTATATCCTGTGATCTATACTCAGAGAAATCAACTGGCCAGTCTCATCCAAATTTTCAAATGTCTTTGTACGTCTTCAAGCAAGACCCTACTCTATTTTTAACTGAACACTATACATCTCTCTCAGGTAAATCCTCTATTTCTAGTCATATATTGAGTATAAAGAAATTACAATTAGATTTTTTAAATGAGTTTATAAATATGACTGTTCAAATCAATGATGTTTACCACAAAGTACTTTTAGACACAAAAAAAGGAAATCTCTGATGTTCATGTGCTTTTTTTTTTAACTTCTTTTCTCTAAAATTAGGTTCAGAAAAATTCTGTCAGATAAAGACTGCATAAACTTCATAGAACATCAAAGCTAAGCACTTGGGAGTTTTGATCAAATTAAAACATTGTGAGAAATATTTCTAATTTGCAAGATCTAAAAAGGGCTTATACCAAAACACTCTCCAATAAACCAGCAAGTGAACTAAAAATAAGGCACATATTGAAAATAGTAGGCAAAAAATAAGTCTTATTGCAACATCTTCCCCCTCACTTTCCAGTTCCTGGAAGCTGTTTGGGAGATTATATAAGCACTGAGGTATGTTTTTATAGCAAAAATGCTTTAAGTAGGAGATAGATGAGAGGGCAGGAATAACTATTACCTAACAGCTCTTTCTTTTAGGCAGGCTGCCTAAAATCAATTTCTTCATCACGGAAAGAAACCAAGAATAAGAAGAAGATAGTTATAAATATTCCAATAAAATCAGATCAAGCCCATGGTAGTAAGGGCCTATTCCCTTTACTGACCAATAGTCTGGTAAAGACAACAGTAATATAATTTTACTCAGCTTCCCAAATAATCTCGAAATCTCAAGGGCAAGAGGTGTGTCTCCCTCTAATGGCAAATACCACATTCCACACACAGTGTTCAATCAGTCTTCCTAAGAATATTTTATCTTTATAGCATCTGGCGGCAACTGTACTCACTAGTCTTAGCTGAGGTCAGACCCCTCTTACGCCAGCAATGACCAGACCCCTCCACTCAGTGAGGCATCAGGTCTGTCCTCATCAGGCCCGTCCTCCCCACAGCCACGTGCTGTCATCGGGACTGCCTCTAACTCTCGGGGTGTAAACTGGCTGGCAAAACGCCTCTCAGCACCTGCTCCTCAGAGACGCCATCTTTTAATTTAACCAATGCCATTTTCAGAAATTTCTCCAGCAACAGGGCAGGCTAATACTGCCACTTATGTTCTAATTTATAAACACTATTTATTCATAAAGCCATCAATGTGAAAGCCATCTACACAGGACACAGTAATACACAGCTTATTATTTTGTGTTGTAGGAATTTTTGTTTTGCTTTGCTTTTAAGATTTTTTTTTCTTGGTGCTGAGGACAAACCCATGGCTTCAAGCGTGCTAAGTAGGTGTCTACCATGGAGCTCCACCCTAGGTGTCTAGCTGTTATCTTGAACATAATACAAACATAAGATATATTCTTGAACATAATGCATACTCCCTCTTATGAGAAACACATGAATTTATATATATAGCTGCATTGTATTAATCAGTTTATATCTAATAATTAAGTTAAAATAATTACCTTTAGTTTTTGGGCTTCTTTTTTATCCCCAGCAAAAAGTGAGTTCTCATCAAAATGCAAAGGAAATGACCTACATTTTAGGAAAAAAAATATTTTTGTGCATTATAAATATTAAAAGCTCTGCTAATACAATATTTTGCTGGCTAATGGTAAATAATACAGAGCAGAAAACAGTTAAAACCATTTGATGCAAACAAATTATTTTCTCAAATAAATGCTAACTGCACAACATAGTAGAGGTTTAGCCCCAAACTCAATCTGTTCACCTAAATAAAGAAATAATGCAAGTGTCACATACTAAAAATATGTCTCCTGGGCTGGGGATTTAGCCCAGTGGCATAAGCGCCTGCCTGGTAAGGGTGAGGTCATGAGTTCAATCTCCCATTAAAAAAAAAAAAAAGTCTCCTGAAAAGTTAAAAATGTGTATTTTTGGTATATGGATCAAAATAAAAACAAAACTGAACCCTGAAAGTTCCATGAGCAGAACTCACTTTTAATTATTTTCAAATAGTTTTCCTTTTTCTACATAAATATTTAAGGGTTTTTTTTTTTTGGTGCCCAGGTTCAAACTCATGACTTTGCACAAGCCAGGTGGATGCTTGTGCCACTGAGCTAAATCCTCAACACTAAAAATTTGATTTCAGATACCATCTAGATGCTACATCTATTAATGTGTAAGGTGTAATATAACTTACTTGATTTCATGAAGTATTTCAAGAAGTAACATTTTGTTTTCTCCATCCTGAATTTTATTTCCAGTGAAAAGCTGAAAATCTGGGCGCTCAAAAAATGGTAACACTTTAGATAAAGCCCTTAATTCAATTAAATAGAGAAAATACAAGTTCTTAAGCCTTCTTGGGCCCTCTCCTTCAGTCAGAATCGCATCAAACCGCTGCTGAAACTCTGTAATGTTGTGTCCCCACTTTGTTTCCAGCCAGGTATCTAGGAAGAAAAAAAATTAAAAACTAAATTTTACTTCAATTTCCTTAAATTTTTACTTAAATTTTTATTTTATTATATTAGGTTATTTATACTTATAGACGTTAATTTTATTTTGTATGTGTGTGTGTTATCTCCAAGAAAATTGGCTTTTATAATTTACTTTTTAAAAATTCTGTATTAATATTTTTATCTTCTAGAACTCAGCCTTAAAAGCAAAACTGAATTCACTGTTTTACTGAGAAAGTTATAATCAAAATCACATTTCTCACTATCAACATTCATAAAATCAAAGTCTACAAATGAAAAATTACTATTTGAAATTATTAACAAGTTTAAAGGATTATTTCAAATCAAAGTTGTTCTTTTGTTCCCAAGAAGCAGAATCCTCTAATTCTCAGAAGACATATTTATAGATGAAAATTAAGCATGGCCTCATTTATCAACAGTATTCCTGAAGCATAAAGAACAGCAGAAAATGCTTCCCCTAAGCTAGCACTTAGGCTCTGATGTCATAACTAATAACAAACTGCTGTTAGGAGCTGGTTTAATTCCCATATCAAAAGAAAATAACATTTCCAAAGTGTCATTTTAAGCAATTGCTTAAAAGAAGGTAAGGAATTAATAATATGCTGAGCTATTCAACTGTATCTACAGTTCTCATATTCCTGATTACTACCATTTAAGAAAGGGTTTTTACAGCCTAATATTCAGGGAGCTCTGTCTTTCCCCATTCAGATAAACACCACGACGGATTTAAGAATGCCTGAAAATAAGTGTGAAGAGGTAAATAAAAGTAAACACCACCTACCTTGTAAAAGATACCTTGCACTCAAATGCACATTAATGCTTGCATGTAAGCCAGATATAAGTCTGTAAAATGCTCTTTTTTCAACACAGAGGCCTGAAAGTCAATGATTTAGAAATAAAATTTCATATGTAAATCTTGTAGATTAATTTCATGATTTTAAAAGTGAAAAACATTTCTAATTACCTTCTAGCCAACTGTAAAATGTGTTCTCTGAAAGGAAAAATAAGTCACAAGTTCATAAAAATGCCAAGAAGTTTTCCAAAGTGTTAAGCTACATTACAGAAAATCTATCCCAATATTTTAAAGATTACTTAACCTAAAGGTTCCAATCTGATGTGCAGTTTCTTCAAAGGAAGAAGCCAAGAAATGATACAGACGCAGCTAAGCGCCATCTGCGCGCACACTGGGAGTGGCCTTGGCGCTGCCTGTGGCAGCCAGGGGCTCGAAGTGTTCCATAGTGCCAACATAGAGAATTTAAACAGTAAGGCACTCAAAAATGGGAAAATACTCAGCCTAGGGAGCAGTTCATGCTACGAAAATTAAAGACTCATTATATGCTTTTTAAATCAGAAAAAATAAAAATTATAAAATAGCATTAGAGGCATATTATTTCTACACGGCAGATTGTATTTCATCCCATTCACTATTTCAAAAGAGCAATTTATAGAATTGTTACAGAAATTGATTCTCTCTTACATTGTAAGCCCTAATAAGATCAGTTTTAATAGACTTCAAAATTGTTTTTAGAACTGGAAGTAACTAAAAATAAGGATAGCAAAAAATTTTAGAAAGATGATTATATTACATCTTTTTTATTTTATCAAACTCACGACTGTGCGATTGCAAGGCAGGCGCTTATGCCGCTGAGCTTAATCCCCAGCCCGATTATACTACAATTTAAACATCTAAATAAAAATGTACAGTATTGTCTAAGTTAATAGGATAGAATACCACATAATATGGTGTAGTTAACATGGTAAAATAACAACTATGAAAATGACAAAAATTTAGAATATAACAATTCTGCATGTACAAGAAAATGTTTTGTTTGGAATATATAAAATATGTAAGAAACCATAACTAGGCAAAGATGCATTTTTATTTGCTATATAAATACTGCATTATTTTATTCACTACAGTAAATACTATTTTTACTATAGTTGCTTACAACAATACTAAAAGTAAATCCCAACCAAGCATAAAAATGGTACAAGCAATGACAAAGGGCATAAGCAACAAATCAGACTGTATACAAATTTAAAATAACTATAGGAAATTTTATGCAAAAGCAAAATGCAGGGGGCTGGAGATTTAGCTCAGCAGCATAAGCACCTGTCTGGCAGGTGTAAGATTGTAAATTCAATCCCCGGTGCTACCCCCTACCCAGCCAAAAAAAACCAAAAAACAAAAAACACAAAAGCAAAATTCAAACACCAAACTAGATAAAACACATACTGCATGTTGCAAACATGACAAAGGAATCTACCTTAAATACATAAAAGATCATAAACCAGACAAAAAGCTAAAAAGGACCCAGTCATTTTTCCTTCACCTGTCATATTACCTCAAGAATTACAAAGAAATAAAACTTCAGTTCTTTTGAGTCTCAAAAGTGGGAAGAAAAAATAGTTTTTCTTTAAAATAAATATCCTAGGGCTGCGGATTTAGCTCAGTGGAGTAAGCACCTTGCCTGCCAAGCACAAGGCTATGAGTTCGACCCCCGTACCACAAAAATAAAATAAAATAAAATAAAAATCCTAATGTATAAGCAATTACATGTGTAAAATATGAGAAAAAAGTTATACTTACCTTTGTTTTTTCCTGAAAAGCAGAACAAAACAAAGTATTTATTATTATAAACTTGTATCTGCCCCTTTTGTAAAGGTACACTTCCATAAAAATGAGACTTTCTAAACATGAGTCATTTCAGTTTATTAGCCCTCCATCCAAGTCTGCAGGGGACGCTCAGGACTGCACTGTCTAGCGCTGACAGGAGTGCTACTGGGGGAAGAGACTGACCATGTCCAGGGGGCCACCAGGAGCTTCGGCTCGCCAAGATTCACTATGCCTGACGAAAGGAAGAAATCTAGTCCAGCACCTGACAGATACTTTCTTAAATATCTTCAGGACTTGTGTTTATTTGGCTGCCAGAGACTCTTTCTACAGTTATTGTCCTAAAGCTACAACATAATTTCTGTTAAAGATTTACCTCACTGCTGTGAAATCTCCAGACTGACATTATAAGATTTAACTTTAGGAATGGTTTGAAAGATGTTAAGATTAGAATTACACGCAACAAACAAACACACACACACACATATAATGTAGCAGTTCGTATGTAGCTGCTTATTTATGATTGAAAGATTATCTTCATTTTGTTCATTTTTCTTTAATGCCATCATTATAAACATATATTTCTACAAATACACGTTTACAAAAAAGACAGATAAAAAGTTATCCATAACTCCACTCTAAGATAAATACCATTTATATTTTGTTAAATGTCCTTTTCCTTTGTGTATAGATATTTGAAGGTTGTATTGATAATGCTCTAATAAAACTGTGTCACACATGTTGCTTGGATTCTTCCTTCTCTGCCTCAGTGTGCTACTCAGTGCTATTAATCATTTTTATCTAAATGAATACAAATTTATGGCAACAGTTGTTATGGCTTATTCTACTCTGTAGCTTTACATAAATCACTTAACCAGTTCCCTGATGATAAACATTTAAACTATTGTCATTTATCTTGTTAATTTTTCTCCCTGTAGTACTGGGAATTAAACCCAGGTCCTTCTCACGAAGCTATATTACCAGCCCTTTTTTTGCTTTTAATTTTGAGATGGTCTCAGCAAGTTGCCCAGGTTGGGCTCAAGCTTGTGATCCTCCTGCCTCAGCTTCCCAGAGCGCTAGTATTATACGCATGAGCCACCACACCCAGTTCCCATTTATTTTTAATGTAAGTCAGGGCTGTTAATTTATCAAGCCATATGTGAGTTCACAGTAAAGACCATCACTTATTTATGAATTTGCATTTCATCTGATATTAAATCAATAGCTTCCACTTACTGACTGTATGTGACTGTGTAAACCCAAAAGCCTTCTTTAAAAGGCTTTCCTAATCTAAGTCAGTCAACATTTAGAGAATGATGCAACCTCACAGCTTTACAGGAAAAATTTATATTTATTGACCGTGTGAGATCAGCATCTTTTCAAATTAATTTTAAACAGTGTAACATTTGCTAAAAGCACAGCAAAGATTTATCGGTAAGCACACGTTAAAAGAGAACAGGGATATATATTTCCTACTCAAGGTGACCATCACTGAAACTACACATTCAGCAAACCACGGTGCCTATGATGAGGCGGGATCTGGGGTTTTCAGTTGTACACTCTCTGTCACCTTCACAGTGGCTAACACAAGTACCCAATGAGTCATCACTTGTGGAAAGAACAAGTGACTCCCACTGTTGTAGACAAGATCATTCACTGAGCACAGCAATCTCTGATGATTTACCTAAAACACTTCTCCATATAAATGCATCAGGTTCTACAGAAACGGACAGAAGAGATAAACGCTGCCCATATACCCGGAATCCTAGGGTAGCATAGTAGGTATATAAGTAACAATAATAATATCCAATAAAAGAAGGTTGGGTGAGAGTACAAACATGTTATTAAGTGACTTCACAAGGACCAGGGAAAGTTGTGGAAAGGGCTGCATTGGGCCGGACCTTGAGTGGAGGGAAAGATAAAAATGCTAATGAGGAATAAATGTAATGTGAATTTGAAGTCAGACTCGCAATATATGAAATCTATAGTATCAAGTTTTGGGGAAATCTTGAGTTTTGGATATTCACTTATCTGGAAGATGAGTAAAAACTGAAATCAGTGAACACACCAGTAAGTGTGTATACAAAAGTACACAGAATAGTGTATATTCCAATCTTCATCTTACATTAGTCCAATACCATGAACTTCAGTACAACAACACACCTACTGTATAAATACAGCTTTGCAGGGTAGGGCTTATCTTCTATGGACACGGGGCTGTGGTTCTTGCCATTTATCTTGGCTTCCCTTTCCTTCTACCCAAAGTCCACAGTTGATAAATAGCGTAACAATGCAGGTAACTAACTCACCTTGACTAGAAGCCAGAGGATTTAAAGGCCTTTTAATTGTCTGTGGCCTAGAAAACAAAATAATTAAAAGTACTGTATAAAATGCAAATATGTTACCAGTCATGTTATAATTATTTACGTAAGACAATTATTATCTCAGGAAGTTATTTAATGACTATATCCAAAGTCAAATGGTTTATTGGGACTATAAAATATTTAATTTTCTCTAATTGCATTAGAAATTACTGGCTATTATTTTAGTACTAACATCTCCTGATCTATCCCGTTATAGCAGCCATCAAGTCATTTCCTAATCACATCTTCTTCAAACAAAAGAAAAATCAGCAGTCAAGCTCTCCTCCACTAGTTACTAATATGTTTTAATACATGTTATCCATATGTATGTGTGTACACCATAAAGAATACACAACTGAAAGACAACCAAAAATATAAACATTCTAATATAAGCATTAAAACTCAACAGTGAAAAATACTGTGGATAGGTTATTTTATACTTATGTAATCTTAAACACATCGGTTGGCCCTGTGGCCATCAAATTCATTATGATTTGAATAAAAGGTTTTCATAATAGAAAAAAACAGCCAAAAGTGTTCTGGAGAATTAATATGTTACTAAAGTACCTTTAAATCCTTCCCCCCACCAAAAAAAACCCCCATTATTAGTATTATTACTAAACTACAGGGATTATTTCAATGTTCATAATTTAAGTTTTAAAAATTTGCATAATGAGACATTTCAAGAAAAAAGCTATATTTTAGCACAATAAATGTAAGTTAGTGTTTAACATAATATTACTTAAATTTAAAAATATGGAAATCAGGATATGAATAAGAAAATAATTATAAAACTAATGTAAATCTAACAAATGCTTTGGGGCTGGGGATTTAGCTCAGCGGCATAAGCACCTGCCTTGCAAGCAGGCAGTCGTGAGTTCAATTCCTGGTACCAATAAAGTGAATAATCCAAGGCACCCCTCAATCACTCAGCGACCGCTTCCACTGCAGAGGTTAGGAGTATAGAGTGGGCCTTTCCCCTTCCTAGACCTGTCACCCCGAATGAATTAACTTCACTTCCCCACGTCGCAGACTCCCACCTGTAACATGGTGATGACTAAGCCGGTCACTAAGAACCACAGGAGGAAAGGCCTATAACATGCAGAACACAATGCCAGGCACTCGGTCAGTGCAAGGCGAGGTGACCTTTTATTTCATTTTATTCTATTCTCTGAAGGCAATTTAACTTTAATGTTAAAGCAGATTGAAATAACTCAGCCACAGAAACGACAGCACATAGCAACAAAAAGAAAAAGTGGTGTGAATTCTATTTGTCCTCTGCCACTAATTACCTGGCCTTGGGAAGTGAAGCGATCTCCGCAGATCTAGGTTACTTCATCTACAAAACGAGACTATTTATTCAGTCAAGTACCCACTGTATTCCCATAAAGGTCTAGAACTAGTCTATGTCTTTTCAAAAAAGATGAATTTTAAGTCATTATGATTTTGCTTATTTATAAAGAGAAATCCTGTCTTACAAGAATTTTTAAATGAAAATGACACATACTTAAAACAGTTTTCTTCGTAGATGACATTCCATATCTTCCACGCATCTGGCCCCTTGTAACCTGTGTAGCGCTCGGGATTAAGGAGCAGATCTACATATTCAGCATCAGGGGACTGTATATCTGTAAAACACAATGTTTTATTCAATCTTTTTTATCTTTATCTTTAAAAGCTAGTATTCAGGCACAGTGCTGTACACCTATAATCTCACCTACTCAAGAGGCTGAAGCAGGAGGACCGCCAGTTTAAGGCCAGCAAGGGCAGTTTAGTGAGACTTTGTCTCACAATCAAAAAGTGCAGCGATGTAGCTCAGTGGGAGAACACTTGATGAACATGTGCAAGTCCAGTCCAGGGTTCAACCCCCAGTACAGGAAAAAAAGTATACAAGCCTTGGTTCTAAGGCTTCACAAAAGTTATATCAGGGAAATAAAAACTTTTCAAGAGAAAAAGAAAAAAATAAATAGCTATCTTAACTGTACACAGTGGTTACAAAAAGATTCTGGTTTAAAGGAACGGTAAAAAAAAAGAGGAATATGGTAATTGGGGAGGAGGCAGGTACTGGAGATTGGACCTCACTGAGCTACAGCCACAACCCTTTATTATTTATTAAGCTAACCTGCCTAACTGCCCAGGATGTAATCCCACAGTGCTGGGATTACAGACATGTGCCACTTGCCCAGCTGGAATGCATGCACTTCAGAACTCATGAAACATGCAACTCCATCTTCCCAGGCCCTCCAGACAATGAATATAATATGCATTTTTCCACATAACCAGAGCAGCTCATCAGGAACTAAGATTATGGGGCAGCATTAGTGCCATATGCTACTTTTTTCCAAGTACTTTTTTCTCAGCTGTCGACCATCAGAATCCCCCAACCAAGCTGTTCTAAAAATGCAATACTAAAATGCAAAAGTTATGTGCAGAGTGATTTACTGTTAGAATTATTTATAAAATGGAAGATAAAAGCAATTTAAATGCCCAAGGTAGCAGAAAAGTTAGAACACAGACCCTGGAGGCAGAGTGCCTTGGCTGGGGTCCAGGTTCTGCTACCTATTCGTAATTTACCATACTGTGTGATATGACTTCAAGGACAACAACCCTGGTCCTCCACTGGCTTTGGGAAATTATTTAATAGCACAGCAATGTCCTACTCACCTATAAACTTTACCAATATGAATGGACAAATAAAAGGAGCCAAAATGGCCCACGAACAACTAAAATCAATGACAAAAATCAGAGCTCATGGATCTATACAAGACAGTCCATCAAAGGGGCAGAGGGTGTGGCCCAGTGCTACTGCCCTGCACATGTGAGGCCTGGATTTGATCCCCAGCATAGGAGAGAGAGAGTATCAAGTTTTCAACAATACCTAGTTCTTATTCTCAAACAAAAAAACAAACAAACAAAAAAAAATCGACCTGGGCTATTTCTATCCCAAGGGCCACGGTGTATTGGGCATAAATTAGGGGGAAAGTTGCTTCCAGAAGCAGCACAATGATAGCAGCTAGAACTGACTGAGCCTAACACAAAAACAGCCACTAAAATACCCAGAAAAAGCCATTAACAACTTCAAGAAACAAATGAGCATGGTATCGTCTAGTTCAGGGATGGATAACTGTTTATTCCAATGTATACTAAAAGCAATTGCCCAATATAAAAAATTATAATAAATTGAATTTTAAAATCCCAATTTTTAAGATATATAAATAATGCTCAGCATCCCATACAAAAAACTAGTAAGAAATGATTAAATTTTTAATAATCTACCTAATTACAGAAAATATTTGTTGCCTCATAATTTTACTTATGACAAATATTTTATTTCAAACTTTATAAGAAAAGTTACTATAACTATATTTTGCCATAAGACAAAAACGTTTATACTTCACCTAACATCTATGTAAATCATTTATTCCCTATGATGCTGCCCTGTTTGATCAGGAGAAATGAATGCAAATATGCAAGTGATTTCACTGAACCCTGCCCGATATAGGAGGTGAACTGTTGATTCTTCATGCTCACGTTGGTAGTTTCAAAACAAGACCACGTTAATTGAAATTAAGATGCTACCAACTTTTTTCTAACATTGCAGGCCTAAAATATTTGCTGTATATTAAAATTTAGTTTCATCATATACAACAATGTTTAAGGCCAACAATTCTTGTAGAAAAGACGGTGAAGTAAGGGATTTGAGAGAATGTTTTAATGCCTTCCTATACTTGTCTAAATCTTGGTATGTGTCTCATTCAACACACTGAGCTCAAATGTGTTTTGGAACACAAAACTTCTAGACTCTACAAAGGTGACACAGGACATGCAACATACATGGAGTCTTATCCCTGCAGGACCTGGGCAGCAATATTTGGTGGGGTGGGGCAGCAATCTTTAATCACAGGGCTGGGGTGTAACTCAGGAATAGTCATCAGCTACAATGAGAAGACATGAAATAGCTGTTTGGAGGCCTGAAAATAAAGCATGGTTTCTAGGTAGCAATAAGAGTTAACATTGGTAATTTAAAGTAATATCATAGAGCTAGGAATGTAGCTCAACACAGAGCACTTACCTAGCACTCACAAGGCTCTAGGTCTGATACTCTCCCCAGGGCAGGGGAGGAGGAAATTATTTCTGCTATGAAATGCCTATTTGAATATTCACAATTAAATGAGTTTATATTTTACTTAGGGGGAGAAATAATGCATTTTCAGTCTTCAGATTTTTAAAATAGAAATTTGACATTTCAGATATGTATATGCCCAAACATGGTCATGTTTCCTATTAAGGAACACTTCTCACTTTTCTTTCCAAAAAGACACAGCTGAGCAGGGCCAGCTGCTCACAGGGCAGAGATCTCACAAGGTTGAGACGAAAAAGATTCCTCAAGCCAAGGGTTTGAGACCAGCGTGGTAGGCAACACAGTCTGACCAGTTCAAAAGAAAAGTCACCAAGTTTAAAATAAGCACTTTCCCTTTTTCCTTTTTTTTTTTTTTTTTTTTTAATCGGTACCAGGGATCGAACTCACGACTGCCTACTTTCAAGGCAGGCTTTTATGCCGCTGAGCTAAACCCCCAGCCCCTTCCCTTCTCTTTTATGGGGATGTAGACTTCTTCTTTTACTTGTAATTAAAATGATCTGCATTGTTCTTTATAGTCATTTTTTAAAGATCATTAATCCACTACCAAGGAGCCACAGAAAGATACGAAGTTCAATTTGATTTAATTTTGTTTGGCCAATTAAAAGGATAATATAATCAAACTCAGAGAAGATACAAGAAGAATGGGACAACCCATAAATCTTGATCTAAGAGTTGCAATTCTAAGGCTTTTAGATTTTAATATCACCAGCACTAGAGCTTAGTTTTGATGTTCCAGACATGACTTCATGGTTCAATATTCTTGTCTCCAAAAGCCACACAGACCATCATTAAGGAAAATTACTACAATCCAACAGCAAAGTAAGAAGCAGGTTTTAGTACTTCCATTTCAGCTACCTTTATGAAATGTACGCGTACATTACAAAAATTAGGCACACCAGATACACAGAATAGCAAAACTGAAGACGGGCATTTCTTTAGGAAATCAAGTTTCCTTTGCAAACTGTGTTATTATGGTAAAATATATAAAACAAAATTTACTAGGTCAAGCATATTTAAGTAAATGATTCAGTGGCATTAAGTATATTTACGTCCCCTATGTCTCCAAAACTTTTGCATCATCCCAACCAAAACTTTTACTCAGCAATCACACACACATACACACACTCTCCTACAACTTCTGATAACATTTAATCTGTCTAACATTCTGTTTCTTATAAAGTTACCTATTCTAGGTACTTCAGAAAGATGGGCTCATAAAATACAGGTCCTTTTGCAGCTGGCTTATTTCATTGAGCATGTTTTTAAGGTTCACCATGTAGTAGCATGTCTCAGAATTTCATTCCCTTTTGTGGCTCAGGGGTATCGTGTGGCAGGTATATCCATACAACACATTGCTTTAGCCATTCATCTGGTGATGGACATTTGGGTTGTTTCTAACTTTCACATACCATAAAGGAGACGCATGAACCTGGGTTTATCTACACCTCAGTTTCCATTTTCAGTTCTTTTCTCTATATACCAAGAAATAGCACTGCTCAGTTACACAATAATTCTAAGCTTAACTTTCTGAGGAACTGTGAAACTCTTAGAAAATGAGTCTTTAATTCTTTTTCTTAAGTGTAATTCTGAACCTAATGGACACTATGAAAAGTGGTATACCATCTGCTTCACAGAAGCTGTCTGCAGAATCATCATGCCTGGTCCACTGAAGCACAGCCTTCTGAGTTTCCTCACTGCAAACAAAGAAAATAAATCATGTTACCCTTTTTTCAAGTTAACGTGTGACATGAAAGAAGCAAAGCCTGCTGCAAAATAAGTGACCACACCTCAGTGATTCATCCACTGCACCGAGCCGTTCAGCTTGCTCACATTCTTCAATGAGATTATTGGCTTCTTCAGAATACTAGAATGAAAGAGAAAGTCACCGAATACTACTTTTTACACTCTGCAAGCTTTTCAAAAGGAACTTAGAATATGGAACTTAGAAGTTATCACTATGGCTTCAATTTTTTTTTTTTTTTTGTCTTTTTAAGTTATCACTATGGCTTCAAATTTTGTGTGTGTGTGTGTGTGTGTGTGTGTGTGTGTGTGTGTGTGTGTGTTTCATTTTTATCGGTACCGGGGATCGAACTCAGGACCACCTGCTTGCAAGGCAGGTGCTTATGCCGCTGAGCTAAACCCCCAGCCCCTGGCTTCAAATTTTTAAAATTCTCACATTCCTCTTGAAGCTAAAAGATAAGCCGAGGCCTTGCCTCTTGTCTTGGTTAAACATGACTTAGTATTATGTTCACAAAATAAAGAACATGGTTCTGAAAATATCCATGAAGGAGATGTCTGAGGCATGAAAAAGGAAGGAGCAGGACACCTCACCCTGCCTTCGTATGACCTCACCATGAGCACGGGCACTGTCCTGCTGTCCGATCCCCAGCACCACCACCCAGCAGGCACCGTCCTCACATCACATTATCCTCGAGGAGTCTGGTGTGAGCTATATGAGAACTCTTCACACCGCACAGTTTTTACATAAATCTAAAACTGTTACGAAATTAAGTCTGTTAAAAGACAGACATAAAAGACACATAAACCCAATTCAATCCATGAAACACAACGTGACTCCTATTTTTTAAAAAACACATGGATATGTTTTTGTTTGTTCATTTATTTTTTATCTTAGAGATGTATAATGATTTGGATAAAAAGCTTAAAAATGATTTGATATTCACCTTAAAATAATTAGAAAAAAGAAATTGGAGGTACAGATAAAGCAATTTTGACTGTATAGTAACTGTTTTTCCTTCTACTTTTATTTTTGATACTTTCTATAACAGAAGGTTAAAAAAAAAAATAAGAATTAGAGCCATGGAAAATAAATAACTTTCAAGGGATATCACTATAAAGGGAAGCAGAGCTGTGGATTAGTATATGGCAGGGAAAATGGTCTTTTTAAGTTTTTTGTTACAATATAGGACACACCACTTAGTAAGTTAGTATACATACAAACCTTGTAGCTCGCAGATTTAATTCCATCAGGAACTTCATCCTAGAAAAAAATTTTTTAGTTGAAATTTATTTCATCTTCTGAAAAAATATCTTACAGCTCATGAAAAAAATGACTGAAGTTTAAAGATTTTTTAGCTAAGGATAGATAATTTTAAATGATTTATTTAGAATAAAACTTCAAAAACAGGGTAAGGCTATAGTTCAGTGAGTAGAGCATTTGTCTACCACGCACAAGGCTCCAGGTTCCATCCTGAATGTCACACACATACCCTAATTAATTAGTGAAGTACTGTAAGTTAGTAAAAAATAACAATTCAAAATCAAATTATTCTATTGTGGATCATTTATTACAGCACGGAAAGGTAAAAGTAGTTACCCAGCTATCATTCCTTTTGACGTTTAAATTGTCCCATGTCTGGCTCCTAGGACACTCACCAAATGCTAACTTACTCTTAGCACAGTCCTCTTGATAGTACTTCAGGACTCCTTAGTAGTACTTTGTGTTCTGTGATGACACAACATTCCAGGTTCATCTCATCTATTTCTCACGTCTCTCTTACAAGCAACCATTTTTAAATTAACCATTCTGGTTTTGTTTTTGTTTTTGCTTCTTTACACTGGGGATCCAATTCAAGACCTCATGCTTGCCAGGCAGGCGCTTATGCCACTGAGCTAAATCCCCAGCCCCTCAAGCAACCATTTTTAAAGGAGCCCTAATTCTTTCCAGAGGAAACTGGAACAGATTTTTGGATGTGTGGGTCAAGTAGTAACTACAGGAACGCTGGCATCCACCCATCCTAAGTATGATTGCTGAGCAGACAGGGTGTACCAGAACTCCATACACTGCAGAGCTCTGGTCCAGTGAAGGACCTGCACAGATCATCACTTTATTTTACATGTTCTTTTTCAACATTTTTAAGTTTCTAATTTTTTCATATAATGTCGAATTTATGGATTAATGTCAGCAGAACTGACATGTTTATAATAGTACTGCTTTATAGTCATCTTTGAACATCTGTCCAATCACCTTATTAAGTAAAATTCTGAGGAGAACAAGTAGGTCAAAGATCTGTACCTTTTTAATTTTGTTGATGCATTTGCCAAATTAATCTCCAAAAAGACTTAATCATCAGAGTTCATCTGTTATTCTCAGATTGATATTGAGTACTGTTAATTAACAAATAATAATGGAGGTGAAAGCAGCTTATTTTAAAGGGAATAAATGGCCTTTTAGAAAAGATTCCAACTGTAAAGGGCAAACTGTCTAACTCATTCAAATTTTCCCTGGAATCAGCACATGAAGAGTATCAAACATAAGGAAGAGAATTTCAAACTTTTATTATTTTTCTATCTCTTGCTGGTTCGCAGGGTATTACATGAACTAAACGAAGAAATCAAAGTGTTGACCAAAAGGGAACTGGTCTTTTTCCTTCCTTGTTCAGCCCAAAAAGGAAGTGCCAAAGCTGCAACCATCTGAGGAGGTAACTGTGGGTACTCGATTAAGGGAACTGCTCCTGTTTTAGCTATGATACTGGCACTGTGGTTACTTTCTTTTAGATGCACAATTTCTTTTATGCCTGTAATCCCAGCACACAGGAGGTGGAGGCAGGAGGATTGTTGTGAGTTTGAGACCAGCCGTGGCTACACAGTGAGCTCAAAGCCAGCCTGAACTGCATAGAGAGACTGCCTCAAAAAAGACCAAAAAAAAAAAGATGCACACTGAAGAAAAAGTGATATATCAAGATATCAATAGCACAATGCAAATGTTAAGTATAAAAATTGATCAACTGTAAGAATTTCAAATTACTTGAAATGATTTTTAGCAACTCTTTGGTTTCGATCCCCTCTCCCAATTCAGAACTATCAGAACCGAGCCCAGGCTTACCCCAAAAGGAGTAACAATAACCACTGACTCACTCTCACTGGGAGGGGAGTCCTCCGGTCTCCCTCCTCTGTGCCCTCAGTGTGTACCTGTTAGCATACTCTGAAAAAGGGAAGTGAGCTATTAACTCTGAACCACTGGTCAGTTTCTCTTCTCTACCAAACCACTAGTCAAGACCACAGCTACATTTGTATGTCCAGGTCCTAGAACATCACAAAATATTCACTACTGAACCAAATTACATTCCAGTGCTAACTGGTATTACTTTACCCATCTCCTCATCTTCCACTCTCACTCCTACAACACTGCCACTTATCCTCTAAAACTTCAATGCCAAGTTTATACATTTATAAATTAAAAATATTTTCAGGTAGAAAAATACCTTCCAATTATCTTATTTGAAAATGTAGAAAGTCTTCCATTATGATACCAACAAGAAAAAAAGAGTACTGACAAGAAAGGTACTCAGCCCCAGTTCTGGAGAAGCTAAGCTAATGAGATCCTATCTCAGTTTCACTCAGTTATTACACTCAGTTTCAAAGTCTACTCAGTTTAGTAAGTCATATAAATGATATTGGTAAATTTAAATTTCAACTAAACTTTCCTGTTACTAAAATGAAATGAAACACTGAAATTGATAATACTGCTTTAATGATGTGCCCAGGCTCTAACAATTATAACTGCTATCCTGTGGGTCCTGAATGTCCTAAAGGCTCATGCATTGAAAGTAGTGACCAGGGAAGCACCACTGGGAGGTAGTAGGGCTGGAGCGAGGCTTTAATTCAATGGGGGCCCGTCCTTGAAGGCGCAGTGTAACCCCAGACCCTTCCACTTCCTCCTTTGGGCTTGCTGCCATGAGGTAAGAGATGCTGCTCTGCCGCGTGCTCCCACCAGATACGCTTCCTCACCACAGGCCCAAGGCAACAAGGGCCATCAACCACAGGCTGGACCACTAACACCGTGAGCCAAGACAAACCCTTCCCCTGGTAAGGTGATTAACTTAGGTATTCTACTAAAGAGCCATGAAGCAAGCCAATATAGAAATATAAAGTGTTTCATTATTTAATCCTTAAATTCTCAGAGCTGTGTCTAGGTGGATCAATATATTTAAAAATATACTTCTTCTCATAATAAAACATTCACAAATAATGTTTTACATTGGCCTTAACTCTACATGTTCAATATGTCTGTGATAATATTTACATGTATTAAAATAAACTGCTGAAAACCACAATGCTACTTCAATGTGTTAGGATGGCCGTCATCCAAAAACAGAAAATAAGACTGCTGTCAAATATGTAAAGAAACTGGAACTTTTGTGTATTGCTGACACGAATGCAAAGTGACACAGTTTTACCATGTGACCCAGCAATTCCACTTCTAGTTACACACATAAAGATTGAAAGACTCAGGACATAGCTGGGTGGTAAATCACGTGCTCAACATGCCCAAGAAACTAGGCTCAACCCCAAAAAAATGAAAATAAGGAGTTTGAAGATGTCTGTAGGCCATGTTCATAGTTGCATGATTCACAATCAAAAAGTAGAAGTCCTTCCATGGATGAATGGGTAACAAAATTGAGTAAAAACAGAATGCAGTATTATAATTCAGCTTTTACTAAAATAGAATAAAATTCTGATTCATGCCATTACATGCATCAAGAAATAAAGCCAGATGCAAAAGGACAAATATTGTATGGTTGCCATTATGGTGGTGCCCACTATAATCAAAAACACAGAGAAAAAATGGTGTTTGCCAAGGCTTTGGAGGAGGGAGAATTGGCATAGTTTCAATCTGAAAGAATAAAAACGGTATGGAGATGGGTGGTGGTGACTGTACAAAATAAATGTACTTAATGCCACCAAACTATATGATTAAAATGGTTAGAATGGCCAATTTTATAATATATACATATTTATATAGGCTGCAAAAGAAGCCATATAAAGTAAGAAGTTATACTTTCTTTGACTGCTGGGAGTTCATACTCAGGCCTCAGGTATGCTAGGCAAGTACTCTACTGCCATGAGGTCCAACCCCAGCTCTATAACTTTAAAGAAGAAAAAGTATTTCATCTGAAAAAATTAAAAAACTATTCTCACAGAAAAACACCTCAAATTCTAGTACTCTTAAGAACTCCTACTTCTACCCCAGAAAATCCAAGGAAAATAATAAAAGGGATTCATATGTATACACATAACTTGGTTCAAGTAAAATGTAAGAACAAAAACAAATATCAAGACAAAAGGACTATTCATACATCAAAGGGTTGCATTAACCACAAAATTATAATCCTATTATTATTAAGGCAGTATAATTCAAAATAGGCTTATAGTTGTAAGTTTAGGTTTGTAATATGTAAATATGGGGTAACATATTTAAACTAAGGATTGAATTATTATTTGGTTATATTGGCTCCCTTTAAAAAGTTGCAGTGTGCCCTTCCTGTGAGCCGGCAGAAGCCATGTAGGTCACAGGAGAAGAAAGAAGAAAACAATTCACCCTTCTAGTGAGCCGGCACAAGCCACTGGGTCCCAGGAGGAAAAATGAGAAGCCAATTTGCCCTTCCTGTGAGCTGACCAGTGCACAGGCTCAGAGCCAAAACCACCCCCTCCATTACTCCCCCATCCCATGGCCACCTGGCTGATTCAGAGGAACACAGGCTGAGCTGCTAGCAACAGAGCACAAACAACTTAATGTTTGAACTGTCTGCTTGACTTTGCAGGCCTAAGGCTGGCAGCCTGAGCGTCTACTAGGAGGATGGCAGTGTGCAGTGTGGCAGCTGTGGGGGATTTCCTTCCATCTTGTTTTTGGAGGCCACTGTGGTTCTCACTGTTTTGGTTCATTCTGTTTTGTTTTGTTTTGTTCAGTGTTTTGTTTTGTTTGATTCTGTTGTGCCTGATAGTGTGGGCAGCAGTTCTGGGGATGGCAAGGAGCATGGTGGTAGCCATTGTTGACTTCCTATTGCCTGTTTTGAGCTCTTACATCACTTTGACTGTTTTGTTTTGATTGGCTTTGTTCTGTCTTATTTTGTTTGGTTTTAATTCTCTTTAAAAATAAAATTAAAAAACAAAATATAAAAACCTGTAATGAACCAGCCATGGTGGACACATCTGTCATTCCAGCACCAAGGAACTGAGACAGTGGAATCACAAGATTGAACTCAGACTGGACAGCTTTGCAAGATGTTGTTTCAAAATAAAAAATAAGGGAAATTCTGTTGTCTCCCAGTCAGAATGGCCACCATCAACAATGCAAAAAAACAATATACATCTGACAAGGATATAAAAAAAGGAACACTCTTGGTTGAGAATGTAAATTAGTGCAGCCACTATGGAAATCCATGCGGAAGTTCCTCAAAAAACTAAAAATAGAACTACCATTTGATTCAGCTACACCCAAAGGATTAAAGTCAGCAACTGTAGGGTTACCTCATACCCAGGTATACTGCAGCACAATACACCATGGCCAAGAAATGGAACCAGCTTGGGTATCCGTCAACAGATGAATGAATAAAGAAATTATGGTGGGTGGTATGGTAGGGGGTGCAGTTCAGCCATTAAAAATAATTTGTCATTTGCAGAAAAATGGATGGATTTGGCAATTATGTGGAGTAAAGTAAGCCTGGCACAGAAAGACAAATTCTGCAAGTTCTCCATAACATGTAGAATCTAAAAAAGATGACAAAGTACAAGACTATTGTTAGACAAGGAAAAGGGAAAACTGAGGAGTGAAAAAGAGTATGAGAACAGATAACAGAGGCATGAATTTTGTCAAAATAGATTATACACATTGAACCCTCCAAAAATTGTGAGACAGGATGGAAGGGGTTGATTAATATATGTATGTACATGTACAAATCTGTCAAAGTAAAATCCATTAATCTGTATAACCAATATGCACTAATAAAAAATATGGGAGGAAATTGTTTTTAATTAAAAAAGAATTGCATGTATAATTAATTAATTTTAAACAAGGCTGGGGATATAGCTCAGTGCAAAGGCCCTGGGTTCAACCCTTCCTCATCACCACCAAAATTAAAAAAAAAAGTGTAATGGGTGAAAAAAGATATGATAGTTCATAAATTTATTTACGGTTCTTACAGATTGACAAGGTTTGACAGCACAGTCCCGCACGCCACAGTGGTTGGTATCATTCCAGAAAGGACATGGCCTCTTCAGGTTTACCTATTTAAAAAATAGACAAAAGTTATAAAAATAATAAACACTTTTTGGTTTTTGAGTCAGGGTTTCACTGTGCAGTCCAGGTTGGCCCTGAAATCACCATCTAGCTGACAGCTGCTTAATCAGGATGTATAACCTGGTTATGTGACATGCTGCAATTATGCTGCTTCTTCCTGTTGTCAAGACTGTGCTGTGTAACTGCAGAGCTGGTATAGATAAATTGGTAGATTTTGTTAGAAAGACACAGACTGTCACTAAACAAACCCTGGACTAGTTCTCATATCATCACTGCTTGATTTGCATTTTTTGAGACAAAAATGTTACCGGATAGAGTCCAGTTAGGCAGTATGAACTCAGAATACAAATAAATATTCCAATGGTCAGGTTTTCCAGTAGCTATTGCAAAATAAAATATTACAAGTGACTTGTCAAAATAATATAGGTCAGAATAAACCATGCTTGGTAAAAGTTTCATTATTTCAATTAATTTGAGCCAATCTGACACTTGAGAAAATTATAAACTAGTTTGATTATCATACAATAGTTTCTGTTCTAGTTTCAATTTAGCGAGCTAGACAGTCTAACTGTAAAGTGCAATAGTCACTGAATTTAAATTCACCGAATGTGTGGTTTCAGAAACAAATAGTTCATTCTCATGAAGAGAATTATCCTAATAAAGCCTCTATCAATTTTAAATAATAACTGTAATTTTGAAGCTTAGTAATTCCTAAGAAAATGTAATTATCCATTTGAAGAATTCATACACAATTTTAAATACCTTGTAATATCTAAAGTAGTCACTTTCAAGAAGTTTTTGTAGTCTCGGGAAAAGTTTGTAGTTATTAAATCTATCGATGGTTTCAACATCGCAGGTACAATCATCCAAGTAACCAGTCACCTGTTGCAAAGACAGGAAAATATTAAATTAAGTGTCTTAGGGGCTTTTTATAAATGTGATTATTATAAACAAGCCTCCTATTCGCCCAGCATTAATCCTCCCTCCCCCTTATAACTTCTTAAAATGGGGCTTGGCAATAACCTGATAATACTATTGCTCTTTTACTATTTCTGCAGAAAAATACTATATCTGAAGAAAAGATACTTTTTCTTTCTTTCATTGTTTTGTTTTGTTTTCAGACAGAGTCTCCTTAATTTGCCCAGGATGGCCCTGGAGCTGCAATCCTCCAGCATTAGACTCCCAACTAGCTGGGATTACAAGTGTGCACTACCACACTGTTTGGGCAGCAGATACTTTCATGGGGTGTACTGAGCTTATAAAAAACAAACAAATGCGTGCGTGCACACACATACACATGCAGGATAACCCTTCCTTCCGGGCCCCACTGACCTGACCAAAGACAGGCAACGTCACCAAGAGGGAGAGAGAGATCTCCCTGTGGTTGACCAATAAACAAGGAAACTTGTATTTCATCATGTGGGCTGACGAGCACAGGAGCCAGTTGGCAGAGAGGAAAGATCTTAAACAATAAGCAAAGAAGCTGAGTCAGGAGATAAAGAGCAGATGCTACTTGGATTTCCTGGGGGTTTCCAGCTCCTACTGTTCATTTTTCAAGCCCAGCTGTGTATTTCCATCCTTGGTTTTCCTGACCCTTTACTCTTACACCTGTTTTTCAGTCTTTCCTTACTATTTTCTAGTGAATGTGAAAGTCAGACACAAGCTTGGTGAGTTCATAAATACAAGTGATACTAAATTTATAAAAGAAATAATGCATTACAAGGACATAACAATTCCCAAATATTGGGCTGTAACATTTTTTTACAGGCTTGGGATGTTCTTTAAAGTTATTTATCATTAACAACAGTGAGATAACAAACTAACAAAATGAATCCTGAGCTTCAAGTGCTTTACACTGCTGTCTTCACCCATTTGCTACATGAAACTATTAATGTACCTATGCTGGGATACAATAGGAAGTTATTTTATAATCAGACAATGTGATCAGTTGTGAAACTAAAATTATTACATGTTATTCCAGGTTAAACCCCTATTACAAGTAACGAAACACTGCTTTTAGTAACAAATACATGATTCCCCAAAAACCTACATACTAAAAACAGAAAACAAAAGTAGCATGCTTCAGAAAACAGGTCCTTCAGAGTATCTTGCCTGAATATACCAGAATATATTTCAGTGAGGCGTATTGTGTACAAAAATATAATTTAAAAATCTATTTGAGGATTGGGAATATAGCTCAGTGGCACAAGCACCTGCCTGGCAAGCACAGGTCCTGGGTTCAATTCCCAGTATCAAAAAAAAGAAAATCTACTTGAAGTAAAGCAAATAAACAACTGAATTAAGAGGCTTTCCTCCAGGAGCTGGGGATTTAGCTCAGCAGCATTAAGTGCCTGCCTTGCAAGCACACGGTCTTGAGTTCGAGCCCCAGTACCAAAAAAAAAAAAGATGCTTTCCTCTTGAAATATGTGAAAAACTACATGACCTCCAAATTTGAGAACACTGCAAAACAGTACTGGAAAATGTTCACCTCTGAGATAAGATTATTTTTTGAATGTAATAGCCATATTCAAGAACTAAGGCTTTTTAATGATTTTTGTCTTGTTTTAGACTAACTCCACTTTTAAAAATCTGAGCTACATATTTTGATATACAAAGTCTTTGTTTCTACTAACACTTTAACTTTCTAAACATTTTGTTAGTACACGTTGGCAGCACATGCAGTCTTACAGCCATCTTGGGGAGCAGGTACATGTACATACTACAGCTTCCTTGTTTTCAATCCCCTTCCCCTCCCTCTCCCCCCTCCTCCTCTAATTCCCTTATCCCAGTTCTCATCTTGTTAATATTATTAATCTTAGCTCATGTTATAGCATATAATGTTTATACTCAATAGAGGTTATCAGGTTCCTGTTCGTGCGTATCTTTATTCTACTTGAAGTGAAGCAAATAAACAACTGAATTAAGATGCCTCCCTTCCCCTCCTCCTCACCCCTCGCCCTGTTCCCTGGACCACTTCTCCACTGCAAGAAGATCCGGTCCCTTGTCCCCTCTATCCATCCTTTATTATTCTCTTTATATGTTGCCTCACTCAAATGACAGATACCAAACTGTGTTTAAGCTTATGTGTCTGGTTTATTTCACTCAACATTATGTTTTCTGGGTACGTCCGTTTTCCCACAAATGTCTCACATTTGTCAGCCTTGATATCTGAGTAGTACTCCATTATATATTAATGTCACATTTTCTTTCTCCAACTGTCTGTTCATGTGCATATAGGCTGCTTCCAGGATTTAGCTATCATGAATTGTGCTGCTCTAAACAATGGTATGAATTTATCACTGTAATATGACATCTTAAGCCCTACCAGGGGAACAGCTGGGTCATACAGAATTTCTAATTTCAATTCTCTGAAAAATCTTCACACTGATATCCATAAGGACTACCTGACAGAACGCCTGAGTACGCAATAATCTTAGAGTCCTAGTGTGTTTGTGTGTGTGGTCCCGGGGACTGAACCCTTGCCTTACACATGCTGACCAGTATTCTGCCCTGAGCTCAACCTTCACTCCAAGGAATCCTAGTTTCAGATGCAACAAAACTTTCAACCTAGATGATTTGATTTTTCACACATTCTTTTGAACCTTTAAAGCTAAATTTCTAAGGACAAAGAATTTTGAAAAGCAAAAACTCTTTCCCCTCTTTGACACAATTATTATATGTGGACTGTGACTGGGGAACCCAGTGTGTTCTCGGGGCTGGCTGTACTCAGGCTGCAGCTCAGGCTGTCAGTGGGAGCCTCGGGCTCCTCTCCAGCCCTCAAAGCCTCTCCTGTCACAGGCAGTGCTCATTGTCCTTGAAGACACCCTGGCCCAGGTTTCCCAATGAACCTTGTTCCTTCCAGAGCTCTTCCAGGGCTCAGTTTATATCTGTGCCATCTGGAAGCACAGTCAGCCGGCATTCGGGTCATAGCTCTAGACTCTGACCCCAAGTTAAAACTAAAATTCTGGTCAGAACCCAAGTGGTTCATGTGTCAGGCCAAGCATAGCTCAAAGGTCCACTGTAAAAAGAAACACACACAAAGACCACCAAGGACACAAGGAAAGCAGAGACATTAAGCTACAAAAGGAAACAAACAAATGTGAGCCATCCATTTCCCTCCTAAGGAATTCACTGTCAAAGTAAAAACGTATCTTCAGGACCTCCACAGGTGGCAGGGGCTGTCTCAGGAAATCCTTGCTACTCCTACTGTGATGTCTCTCCTGTGTGTGTCCAGCACACTCGGCTTCCACTGTGCTGAATTTCCCTGCTTCACTCCTGCACCCCGCCATGTAAAGCAATGAGATGAAATCATATTTGCTCATCTTTGTGCTCCAGACTCCACTGTGCTTCTGGAAAGTGTATAGTAGCTAGTCAACCAATCACTGACTTTCGGAGCAGGTGGGCAGATGAATGAATGCAGTTCATGGTCACTCATCACCAGAGACCAGCACCACACTGTCTAATTGTAACTGATGTACCACTGTGTCACTCTCACAGTGCTCGGTGTCCCAGAGTACACAGCACGTATGGCAGGAAGGCATTATTCACATAGCAATAAAAGCAGGCAGCAAAGACGAACACCCTTTGCACTCAACATTCCCCCATCTGTGTTCTAAAGACAAAGGAAGCTAGCAGAAGCTGCCAGAAACCAAAAAGGGAAACAGGATCCTCCAGAGTAGGAGGGAAAGTAGCCAAGAAACTTCAGAGGCAAAGAAGGCAGGACAAACGGTGGTTTTTAAATCCTCTGTCCCTTACCCCAGGTGTGTACCATGGGTAGAGGACGGCTAGGACAACAAAATAAAGAGTGGCAGGGGTCTCATTAGATGCAAAGAGACTAGCAAAACCAAACTAAACTACAAGCTCCTTGGAAACACAGGCCATCTGACAGTTCAGGTGAGCTGCCAACAGGCAGCAGAACCTGACCCCTGGAAGGAATTCTGGCAGGTGTGATGCTGGGCCAGTTCTAGAAACTGAAGAACAAAACATACTACCAAAACAGAGTCACAGGAAGAGGCTCAGATACAAATCCAGTTCAGAAAACTAGGACAGAATCTTGGAAACAAAGCAAAATTCTATACCCGAACAACAGCCAGAAGACGGGTGCCAGGCTGCAACAAGGGTGGCTTGATGCTGAGCTTCAGAACGTGGAAAGGCTGTTCAAGTAACCACCGCACTAGCTCCTGGCCCTACCCTAGGAATCCGAATGTTTTAAAAATGTGTTTTCCCTACCCTCCTACAGGACTAATGTAGGCGAGAAACTGAAGTTCACTGCTCTATACTTCAAGCAGTCATCAACCTTGGGTAGGAGAAGGTCAAACTAAAAGGTGCAAATAAAAAGGTCCAGTTAAGAGACACAAACGTAAGGACCAGGGAGTGCCTGACGCATAGCATCACCACAGTTCAAAGCCCTAGTCTCCAAAGAGCCCCTGGAGGTCTTCTGCTGTAACACCCCAAACAACACAACAACCCCACCAGTAGACACCTCTCAAGGAAGAGCCAGTGCAGACCAATGGGTTACCTGCAGGCTCTGAGTCAGCCCTTAGTTCTGAATCCCATCCCAGCTGCCTGGTGTTTTTGTTTTTGTTTACCTTATCCAAGGTATTTAGCCTCTCCAGACCTCAGTTTCATATCTTAATACAATAGTAATTCCCATCCTATGGATTTGATATCAGTATAAAATAATACAGTAAATGCTCAGTAAATGTTAGTCAGTATTATCACTCTATGTCTCCTTCAATCTTCCAGTGACTGGGGTCTTGCTACTTTCCAAAGCAGCCCCCAACACTGTCTTAATGAATATCAAAATAGGCTTAATGAGTAAGAAAAACTTAAATTTGTAGTTAAGTTTTTCTAAAACTTTGAAATCCATTGGCCCAGACTAAAGCAACAGACAATGGAAACTTGGCAGTAGAGAGAGACACAATTACTTTCCCACTGACTGAGTGAACAAAAATCAACTGCATGTCTATAAAATAACACCAAATATCCAAGAAAGAAATTTTACAAAATCCCATTTATAAGAGCATCAAAAAGAATGAAATGCTTTGGAAGACAAACACGGTAAAAGCTCAGTAACCAAAAACTATACGACTCTGATGAAAGAAATTGAAGACACAAATAAATGAAAGCAGCCCATGTGCATGAATTTAAATTATTAAAATGCCATACTATCTAAAGCAATTTACAGATTCAGTGTAATCTCTATTAATTCCAATGACATTTGCCACCTTATAGAAAAAAAAATTCTAAGGTTCAGACAGAAGCACAAAAGTCTCTAAATAGTTCTCAGTAATCTCGAGCACAAAAAACAGACCTTGAAGCAATATACTTTTTAATTCCAAATTATATAAAAAGCTATAATAAAAAAACAATATGGGATCAGTATTAAAACAGACATAAAAATTGAACAGTTACATAGCAAAAAAATAAAGGTTGACAGAGTTATAGATCAATGAATGGAACACAACAAAAAACAAAAGAAATAAACTTAGGCATTCACGGCTAAATTTTGATAACAGAACACACAATGGGGGAAGAAGGGTCTCTTTAGTATGGGGTTGGAAAAACTGAGTAGTCACAGGTAAACTATATATATATATGTTCAGCTATTTTACAACATACACAAAAATCAACTGGCAATGGAATAGAGACTTAAACTAAGTACATGAATCATAAAACTCCTGGAAAAAAAACAAGGAGAAAGCTCACTGGTCTTCACAGTAATTTTTTGCACATGATACCAAAAGCATGTGCTACAAAAGCAAATGTGCACGAATGGAACTGCATCAAATTAAAATGTTTATGCATGGCAAAAGAAAATAAAAAGACAACCTATACCACAGGAGAAAATATTTACAAACCATCTACTGAAGAAAGGGCTAACATCTGTAGTGGTTGACTGCTGTCAACCTGACAGGTTTAGAAATTTAACTAAATGAGCTCAACAATTCTACTCCCTGGGGTGCAGAAGACCTGCCTTGGGGTGGCTCATTTACACCCTAGGTTGGAGAGGCCCCATCCTAGAGCTGCTCATGGCCTGGACAGGATAAAGGAGACATGAAAAACGGCTTTTGTTTCTTTGGAGGAGATTCAGTCTCAGGCTTCAGCTTGGATGGTGTCTCTTGGCTTCCAGCACAAACTTCAGCTGCAGTACCTTCAGCCTTTGGGCGTAAGCTCTTCAGCCTTCCATCGCAGACTCACTGGCCTCCTGATACAGCGTGGCAAGGCACACTGCGTGAACTCCAGGCCTCGGACTGTATCCTTCGGTCTGCGGTGTACAGACACCCTCTCATGCCTCCTAACCCAATTCTGTAGATGACCATCATAAGCTGATCGTGTAACACATTTGTATACCTTGTGTTATATGTTTCTCTAATAAAATACTGACTGATACAATATGCAAAATATATAAGAAATTCATACAACTCAAAAAAAATGTGGCAAAAAAATGTGGAAGACACACAGAAACATTCATTATCAGTAATCAGCAAGTGATTTCTAATCAAAACTACAATAAAACCAACTCACACCCACTGTGATGGCCACTATCAAAAAGTCAACAAAAAACAATAGCAAGCAAGCCTGGTGAGGAAGCAGAGAAGGGAACTTTACACTGCAGGTAGGAATGCAGTTTGGCACAGCTACTATGGGAAACAGCATGGAGTCTCCTAAAGCAAAACAAAAGGAACCTATCATAGGACCCAGCAATGAGACCCCTGGGTGTATTTGCACAGGAAGTAAAATCACTACCTCAAAGAGACATCTGGGACATGGGGGGACATACGCCCCATGTTCATTCCATGATTACTCACCGTAGCTAAGATATGATGCAACCTAAGTATCTGTCAAGAGATAAAGAAAATGTGATCCACACACCACATAATGCAATACTATTCTACTTTTAAAAAAGAAAAAAGAAAACCTTGCCATTTGTGACAACCTGGAAGGACCTGGAGAACACTGAACTAAGTGACATAATCATAATCAGTACTGCCTAATTTCACTTACATCTGTAATCTTAAAAAAAAAAAATCATAGAAACACACAGTAGAAAGGTACCTCCCAGGGTTAGAAAAAGCAGGAAGATGTTACAAGATAAGTAAGTTCTGGAGACTTCATGTATAGCATGATGATTATACAAGATCAGATGATGTAGATATACTTAAAATGTGCTAAAAGAACAGATTTTAGGTATCTTTGCTACACACATGCACAAGAGCAACTAGGTAGATATGTTAATTACCTTTATTAAGGCGATTATCTCCCAAGTATACGTATATAACAACATCATATTGTATTTGTGTATGTGTAGTTTTGTTGGTCAACTACGCTTTGACAGGAGGGATGAAAAGACAAACCCATAAATGAATGTGCGCAAAGTATGTTTTATTTAGTAAAGCATTTTGTTACTGCTTGTTTCAATACAAAGGCTAGAAGATGATAAGAGGATCTATAACTTAAGAATTAAGATTGTAAAGGAAGCAGCAGGGATCCAAACAAATGAACTGCAAAGGCTATTCACAGATATAATCAAGGAGAATTTCCCTAATATGGGAAAAGGTAAAGATACTCAGATCTATGAGGGATACCGGACCCCAGGCACCTACAACCCAAACAGAACTACACCCAGGCATAGAATAATCAAAATTCCAAAAATCCAATAGAAGAACAGAATATTAAAAGCTGTCAGAGACAAGAAACAGATCACTTACAAGGAACACCCATCAGAATTACAGCAGACTCCTTGGCACAAACCATCAAATCACAAGGGGCGTGGGGCGAAATAATTCAAGCTTTGAAAGACAATAATCTCCAGCCAAGATTGATATATCCTGCACAATTGTCCCTAGAAATTAATGAAGAAACAAGGTGCTTCCAGGATAAAGAGGAACTAGGGAAATTTGCAACCACCAATTCAACTCTACAGAGAATACTACAGGACATTCTAAGAGAAAAATACCAAGACTCCAGAAACAGTGGCAGAGAGGCCACAATGCAGAAAGCGAAATGAAGAAGACAAACTGACAACTAATGACAGAAAAAGAGCTCAACAGAAATGAGGCAGAGAAGGTTGGATGGTATGAACAGCCATTTTGGAGAGAACAAGACATCATAATAGCTAGTGCTGATTTAATATGATCTTGTTTTGAAGTCCCATCAAGCTTTTGTTCTTTTCTCTCCATCGGTCTTAACATGTTGTATCTTATTGGATTTTATTATATGTGATAATATAAACAAAAACTTTTATAGACAAGGAAATAATACAGAAAACCATTGTTCATTTTCTGTTAGTTGGTTCTAAATACCCTGTAATACTGTCATTCTCTCCAATGGTTTTACATTGTCTCGATATGTTTGATGCTACAGTATACAAAGTTATACTTAAAGATTCCAAGGAAAGAGACACTATGGTAACTACTTTTATGTCGGGATATCTTATGGTGAAACACTATTTTGCTTAAATGGTTATGTTCTGACCTGTGCTGTTTTGTTGTTATGTCCTCTTTTATCTCAATCTCTTTATTTTTTTTTATTTTTATCTTTTTAAGGGAAAAAATAAAAAATAGCAGGATATATTATAGTAACCCACTTTGATTTCTTATTAACTTGATTTGAAACCCTGTATTGCTCTCACCATCTTCTTTTGACTGATTTTCCTCTATTCTGTTTTGCTTGACAGTACCAAGTTTGAGAGTATAGGCAACAACTGTGAAGACAGTAAGATTCACTATGATGCCCATTCTGGTTTGACTATTATCTTCTTTTGAAATCCTGTAATGTCTCCAATGTTTTGGTTTTATTGGTTTTGTTCTTTACTGTTTTGTTCAACTTTATTATAACCGATGATATAGGCAATTCTTTTTAAGATAGCAAGAGGCATTATGGTAATCATTGTTGATCACCTTGTATTCTGCTTTTACATTATGTACTATGTCCATCCTTTTGATTTGACTGACTCTGTTTTGTTATGTCACATTTGTTTTTATTCTCTTCAAAAAAAAAAAAGTAAGAACTGTGGGAGTAATAAAACTCAAAATGTGTAATTGTCATTGTAAAAAAGAACGGAAAAGAAAGTGCTCTAAGGGATATCATTGTAAAAAAGAGAGGAAAAGAAAGTGCTCTAAGGGATATAACTGCGTATATATTTAAGCATATAAGATAGATAACCATATTACTGAGTTTTTGTTGCATCATTGAACAGAACTGTTTGCAGTCTCACTGTTTGAATGTCCACTTTACATGCTTTAATTTTGTAACCTGAACAACTATTTCTAAGATGACAATATGTAATCTATTTAGTAGTGATTTTGTACTGTTTATTTTTTTTTGAAATTCTGTGTAACTTGTACACTTTTTGTTTTTATTCTTTTTCTCCTTAAATAAAATTTTTTAAAAAAAGAATTTTGAGTGTATTTAATTTCCTAGAGTTTGGAACCATAAAAAGAAGTTTTACAAATAAATAACATTTTGTATATTTAAGGTCTACAACACATTGTAAGATATCTGTATAGTAAATTACCCTGGTGAGGCAAATTAACATATCCATCATTTCACATAGTTAACCACTTTATCCCCACCACCATGGCAAGCACAACTATCATTTGTTCACTTGACAAAAATCTTAAACAAATACACAATCATTAACCAGAGTCCTCTAAATACCTGTCCACAAATGTGTAAAGAAAATGTCATACAGGCTGGGGATTTAGCTCAGCAGCGTAAGTGCCTGCCTTGCAAGCGCGTGGTCGTGTGTTCGATCCCTGGTCCAGGTTTAAAAAAAAAAGAAAAGAAAAGAAAATGTCACACACACACAGAGTGAAATCTGTCGTAACATTTATGAACTTGCAAGTCATTGTGCTAGGTAAGGTTAAGTCAGACTTGGAAAAATATTGCATGACCTCACTTATATGTGGAAACACAGGGTGAGAAAGTGCTCAAAGACAGAGATAAAAGTGAACAGTGGAGGGCTGGGGATGTGGCTCAGTGGTAGTTATTGCCTTGTATGCACAAGGCCCTGGGTTCAATCCCCAGCACCACCAAAAAAATACATAAATACAGTTCAAAAATTACATCAAACAATGGTTACTATGGTGATACAAAGACAAAACGTGGAGATGGAGATTAAAAGACTGAAAAATAGCAGATCTGCAGGCTGGAGGGCATGAAAATGATTCATTTGTTGATAAGGCTAGCACAACTCTGTCAATGAAAGCTGAGAAAGGACAAAGGTTTCACAGGTAGCAAGATAAGCAGTGTTTCTCCACTTTATAGTAGTGTTACTCTATTGTTAAACTACTAGAAGGATAGCAACATCCTGAAAATATTTCTTCACATGCTTCATTCAGAAAAGCCGGCACTGAGTCAATGGACACTTGTCCAGTATAACCTGTTCCAAAGAGCTTTCTTTAGTCAGAAGAATTAAAACTTGTACATGAATATATCTCAGTTCCTCTTTTTTTCCCCCTTTTCCTCTCCCCTTCAGCTCCTTTTACCCTTAACGTCAAAGCTTTGTTTACATTTTTTCCTTCTTTCCTCATTTTTTTTCTTTTCTCTTCCTTCCTTTCCTCCTCATCCCTCTCTACTTCCCCTTGTCATTTGAGCATTTTCTTCCTATTTCATAATATCTACACATTCTGGTCTATACTTACACTTTTGATTTCTCACACCAGAGAGACAATGTGATATTTACACATGTTCAATTTATTTTACTTAAGAGTATGGTCTCAAAAATGCATCTGTTTACCTAAAAATGACTCAAGTTTATCCTTCATGGCTCAATAATATTTCATTGTATTAAAAAAAAAAAAAACCACCATAAAAGCAGAGTGGAAAGAAAAAGAGAAAGCCAGCCAGCCAGAGCTGTATATAAAGAAGATTTAAAGGTTCCAGGAAAATAAGAACTTATTTTGAGCTAATAACACTTGAAGCATTATTATCAAAAGAACTTACAACATAGTAAAAATAGGGTAATATTTGATGTCAACTGACAGGCATTTGTAGTGAATGACCAAGTTCAAAGACTCATTTGGAGTTGTTAACTATCCCATCTGAAAAATGCAACTCTCGGTTTACCCTTTTTTTTTTTAACTTTTCTTTCTTTTCCTTCCTCTTTTCTTTATGAAATGAGGTCTTGCTAAATTATGAAGGCAGGCCTTAAATCTGCAATCCTGCTTCAGCCTCCTATACAGCCAGGATTACAGTGTCCAGCACTATGCCTGTTTTAAATTGCTCAGACTGGGCTCAAACTTATGATCTTCCTGCTTCAGCTTTCCAAAGTACTGAGGTTATAGGGTACTTACCGTTCTTAAAGTTGACTCTAATAAACAGGGAGCCACTCCTGTTCTGAAAGGAAAAAAAGGAGCCAAACAGAGTTCTGTGTTGGAAGATATTTAAATCTAAGGATAGCATGAAAGGGGGGAAAGCTCTATCACTGATCAAGAAAAGAATGCAAGAAAAAAATAAAAGTTGTCCAATTTTAAGCAACTCTCTAAAAAATGTACTGGGTGGAAAAGTAAAACCTGAAGAGCTAAACAGTGCTTTTATTCCATTGTCCAAATCTCCAGGATGTAGTTGAGAAGGTCACAGTGGATGCCTTCTTTCACTACTGAATGCCTTAAAGTCATTTATTTCTTTTTTTTTGGCTTTTTTTTTTTTTTTTTCATTTTTATCGGTACCAGGGATCGAACTCACGACTGCCTGCTTTCAAGGCAGGTGCTTATGCCGCTGAGCTAAATCCCCAGCCCCCTGAGCTAAATCCCCAGCCCCTAAAAGTCATTTATTTCTATCTTACATATATTTTAGATGTTTGAGCTCTCTCCATGGAGTATTTGGAGTCAGAAGGAAAATGATCTCTTCCCATTTAAGCATTTAATTATGTGCTGTTTGCGATTCCAGAAGGTAAAAGGGCTTTCCAATGTCTCAGTTGTGAAGCAAAAATTTTCTCCCAGCTACTTTGATAGGTTTACAAATAGCCTCACCTCAGCTCCCAAATCCATGAGCAAAACAACAAAATTCATGTACAGGAGATTGAATCTAGACTCATATTTATTACCATACAGTAAACTAAAGTCAAAATGGATCAAAGATCTGAGTATTAAAACAGAAACAGGCTGGGGATACAGCTCAGCGGCACAGTGCCTGTCTGGCAAGTGCAAGGTTCTGAGTTCAATTCACAGTACTCCCCCCCACCAAAAAAAAACCTGTCTGCTGGAAGATAAAATAGGTAAAACCCTTGAAGACATAGGCATAGGCAAGGACTTTTTGAATAGAACCTCAAGGGCACCAAAAATACTAGAAGTCAACAAATGGGCTTTTATCAAATTCAACAGCTTCTCTATAGCAAAAGAAACAATCAAGTGTGAGGAGACAATACACAGTATGGGAAAAAAATTTCCATCTATTCTCAGAGGACTCATATCTAGAACAGTTAAAGGACTCAAAAAAAAGTAGACCCTACCAATAAAAGACCCAGTGAAAAAATGGGTGAGTGAAATGAATAGGGACTTCCCTGAAGTACAAATAGCCAATAAACACATGAAAAAATGTTTAACATCACAGGCCATTCAAAAAAATGCAAATTCAAACAACACCGAGATTGCATCTTATTCCAGAAAGAAGGGCTATCATCAAGAAATCAAACAATAACAAATACGGCCTTGACTGGGGGAAAAGGGGGTACGTTTCCTCATTGTTAGTGAGAATGTAAACTAGTATAACCAGCAGAGGAATCGGTATGGAGATTCCTCACAGAACTAAAACTAGAAATGCCATTCAGCCCAGTTATTCCTCTTGTAGATATCTTCTGGAAAGAGTTAAAGACATCACACGCACCCCCATGTTTACGACAGTATAAATTCATAACTGCTAAATCTTAGAAATAGTCTACATGTCCCTCAACAGATCAATGAATGAAGAAAATGTGGTATGTATACACTATGGAGTACTACTCTGCCATACAGAAGAATAAACGAGTCATGTGTATGAAAATGGACACACCTTGAAACCACAATAATTAAATGAAATAAATCACACAAGGTTAAATATCATGTGGTGTCTCTTATATGAGAAACTCAAAATATAAATAAAACAGCAAAATAAAAGAGAAAATAGGGAGACATCTTTTTCAGGTTGGAAAGGGATCAAGAGATGCAGGGAGGTGAAGGAAGAGGGAGAAGAGATGAACAAAGAATTAAGATGTGTTATGTACAACTCCTCAAGAAAACTGTAATCAATATGCACTGCAACCATTTACAAATAAAAATGCAAACTCAAGAAAATTTTTAAACCCATGAAATCTAAGAATTTAAAGCAGTGAGAGGCACTATATCTCTTCCTCTTGTAATAAAGTGCTTCCTTAAATTCTTAAAGTACTTCCCATGAGACATCATGCTGCTACACCATAACAGTAAAAACTACACAAATTGAAATATTGGAATACCTCGCCCTCAATGTTAAATAACATAAATCACCAAAACATGGCTTTAGGAAGACTAATGAAGCCAGACATGCGCCTGTAATCCCAGCATTCTGGGAGGCTGAGGCAAGAGGATCACAAATTAGAGCCCAAGGGAGCCCTTGTGTCAAAATCTAAAAATGTAAAAAAGTGTCAGAGGTTTGGCTCAGTGAGAAGGCCCTTAGTCCAATCTCCAGGACCAGAAAGACCAAAAAGGGGATGCAGCCCAGTGAGAGGTTTACAGTAGCATGTTTGGGAGCCCGGGTCCAAGTTCCAGGACTGAACCAAGAAAACCGAACCCGTTTGGGGATGGTTGGTTTCTCTGAAGGCTCCGCTCGGGCAACCCTAGCTCCATCGCTGACCGAAGGAAGCAACAGAAAAGCCTGCACACAGACGCCTGCACACAGACGCGGCCCGGAGGAGGCAGGAGCGCCCCCCGCAGCCCCGCCGCGAAGCCGGGCAGCCTGACACAGCGAGGCCAACCAGGCAGAAGTGGAGGCCGCGTGGGGTCGGGGAGCCCCGGGCGGGCGGGAGCCCGGCCCCTCACCTGCCCGCCGCCGCCCGTGGCCCGCCGCTCACCTGGCAAAAGCAGCGCTGTGCCGCCGAGCCCGGCGTCCCTGGCGTCCCCGGCGGGTCCGCCCCGCCGCCCGACCCGTACAGCCACGCCGCGCCGAGCAGGCCGATCACCAGGCCCCAGCCGCGGCCCATCCCGCCGCCGCAGCCACCGCCGCCGCCGCGCGCCTCCAACGCCCCGCGCCCCGCCGGCCGCGCGCTGCAGATGAACCACAGCCTCCGGGACCAAGGCCCGCCCCCTCTCCACCCAGGCCCCGCCCCCTCCACCCAGGCCCCGCCCCTCGCTGCCCGGCGCCGAGGACGTGCAGCGCCGCCAGCCACCCCGGCCCCGCGTGAGGCCACGCACGCTCCCGTCCCCCCGCCCCGCCGGGCCGCCCGCAGGCTTCTTCCGGGTGCCCCGCCCCTCCAGGCCGCGAGTTCTGGAGCCGCCTGCACGCGAGGGGGCTTCTGCGACCCTGGCTGTCCTGTCACTGAGTCATGCTGCGCCACCGCCCAAGAGCAGAAGAAACAGGTGGAGTTCACTTCGCGATGATGTTCTATTAAACCCCGGGGCTGCAGCGTGTTTCAAAATGCAGCCTGTGTGAAATGCATTCATCACATATTTCATTTTTCTTAGGTTATCTTGAGTTCCGGTGTGTATTTGCTGCGAACTAGAGGGCGACCTGTAAGACCGGTCGCACAGACAGGAACAGGGAAGGGTAGTGAGCAAGGGCAGGGACCTGGGCAGTGCCAGAGCCAGGTCCTGTGACACCACCACCACCCCCGCCCCAGGCTGTAAACTGGCAGTATGGGCCTGACCTATGTATTTTCAGTGTATTGGTACATTTTAGGTGTCCATATCGATCACATTCGTCAGAGAGAATTTGTATCTGTACATGACATAATCTTATTTTTTTTCCCATTCTCCTCCTCCTTTCAACCCCTCTTCCTGCCCTTATCTACAAAGCTTTGTTTCCATTTATTTTTCTTTTCTCATTTTTTCTTTTCCCATCTTTCCTTTCCCCTTCCCTAGTTCTCTTCCTCTGAACAATTTCTTCGTATTTCCCAATATCTGTTGCACATTTTGGCCCTTTTTTGTACTTTCAGTTTCTCACACCAGAGAAATAATGCAGAGAAATATTTACACGTGTGTCTGATTTATTTCAGCTAAGAGTATGGTCTCAAGGTGATTCCATTACCTAGAAATGCCTCCAGTTTGTCCCTCATTATAGATGAGTAAGTACTTCATTGTATAAAAAGACCACTTCATCTTTACCCATTTATTGGTTGATGAGCATTTGGACTGCTCCCAAGATTTAGCTATTACAAACTATGCTACTATAAATATAGGTGTGCATATGTCTCTGGGGTATGATGCTTTTAATTCTTTCAGAAAGATACCAAGAGGAGAATAGCTGGGGCCCATGGAATCTCAAGTCCTAGTTTCCTGAGAAATCTCCGTACTGATTTCCACAGTGATTGCACCAATCTACCAACCGTGGAAAAGGGCTCCTTTTCCCCTACAGCCTCACCAGCATTTGTTATCGGTTGATTTCTTGATAATAGCCATTCTTTCTGAAACAAGATGAATTATCAGCATTACTTTAGTTTGTATCTCTCAACTGACAAGTGATGTTAAACATTTTTTCATATATTTATTTGCCATTTGTATTTCTTCATCTGAGAATTGCCTGTTCATCTCAGATGCCCATTTTTTGATTGGGTCTTTAAATTTAGATATCTGATTTTTAAAAAATTTATATGTTCTAAATAGAAGTCCATTGTCTGAGGAATAATTGCCCAAAATGTAGTCCCCTCTCTGTGGTTTGTTTTTTCACACTGTTGGTGGTTTCTTTTTTTTTTTTTTTTTTTTTTTTGTCTTTTTTATTTTTATCGGTACCAGGGATCAAACTCACGACCGCCTGCTTGCAAGGCAGGTGCTTATGCCACTGAGCTAAATCCCCAGCCCCTGTTGGTGGTTTCTTTTGCTGTGCAAAAAGCTTTCTAAGATGAGATCCCAGTTGCTGATCCTTTGTTATATTTTTCATGAGATCTAAGGGGGTTTTGTTCATGAAGTCTTTGCCTTCAGTTGTTTAGCTGGATACAAACTAAACACTCAAAAATCAGTAGCATTCTTGTACACAAATAACAAACTCACTGAGAGAGAAATTAGGGAAGCAATGCCTTTGACAATAACACTGAAAAAAATAAAATATTTAGGAATCAATCTAACAAAGAAAGGATCTTGGCATTGAAACTACAGTAGTCAGAAAAAGGAGATCCAAGAGGATATCAGAAAATGGAAAGATATCCCTTGTTCTTGGGTGGAAAGAACCAACACAGTGCAAATGGCCATACTTCCAAAATTGATACACAGATTTAAAGCAATCCTTATCAAAATACCAATAGCATACCTCACAGCAGTAAAGACATTTCCAAAATTTATTTGGAACTGAAAGAGACCTAAAATAGCAAAAACTACTCTGGGCAACAAAGGCAAGGCAGAGGCATAACTTGAAACTATACTACAAAGCTACTGTGATAAAAACAGCATGGTACTGGCCAAAAAATCAGATCTGAGAATCAATAGAACAGATTAGAAGATGCAAAAACAACTCCAAACACACTCAACTACACCTTGTTTTTGACAAGGGGACCAAACATGTTCACTGAAAGAAAAGACAGCCTCTTTAATAAGTGGTGCGAGGACCGGGGGTTTAGCTCAGGGCTTAAGTGCCTGCAAGGCAAATGTGAGGTCATCAGTTTGATCCCCGGTACCCCAAAAAAAAAAAAAAAGTGGTGCTAGAAAACTAGCTTTCCATATGTTAAAGACTAAAAACTAAAACTAAACCGTGTCTCTCACCATGCACTAAACTAAAACCAAAATGAACCAAAGATCTGAATATTAAAGCAGAAACACTAAATCTGCTAGAACAGTATTTTTTTTTTAAGAAGAAAATTCTGTGGTGAAACTGGAAGCTTTTTCAACATCTCGCCCGTTAATAGTTGAAATATTTTGGGCTGTCAGGACATGGGTTAGATGTTGAGGCCCTGAGTTTATATCCTAGCAATAGCCAATTAAAATTTAAAAATCACAGGTTTTTTGCAAAGGCAAACAAGCCAGGTGTGGTGGGGCACACCTGTAACCCAACACTTGGGGGGCTGAGGCAAGAGGATCACTATGAGTTCAAGGCCAACCTGGCGTACATAGCAAGACCCTGACTCTAAATAAACAACTTAATTAATTAAATGGGCAAACAAGCTGAACATTTTCCCAAAGATTACATACAAATAAATGACTACTGGCTTTACAAAAAGTGAAATATCATTAATCATCAGAAAAATGCTAATTCAAAACAGTGAGATATGGCTTCGTATCTGCTAGACTGGCTGAGAGAGAAATAATAAAAACAGCTGTATTCAAAAGAGGTACTCAATCCCCAGTACTAAAAATGAAAACAAATGCTGTACAATCATTTTGAAAAATAGCATGAAGTTTCCTCAAGAAATTAATCATAGAAGGGCCAGGGATTTAGCTAAGTGGCGTAAGTGCTTGCCTGGTAAGCACAAGGTTGTGAGTTTGATCCCTGGTACCAAAAAAAAAAAAAGAAACATAGACCACCATATGATCACTTGGAGATTTACCATAGTTATGCATCTATATCTAGGTGAATTTAAACAGGTATGTCAAGGAAATATCTGCATGCTCATATTCATGTCAGCATGATTACTATCTAATCTTTGGTGGTTTTTTGCCCATATGTCCACCTCTGAATTGTAAACTCCTCAAGCAAGAATTATATCTCGAACATACCCGCGAGAACTAAAGATCTTCACAAGCAACTTTGCTCCTGTATTGGAATGAAAGTCTCTTTCCTCTGCCCACAGTACTAATTTTTCACAGTAACCAGAAGAGCTTCTCATAGTTACTAATCATTGAAGATTTGACCACCAAAAATGAGGAGCACAATAAGCAAAGGGGAAACTAAACCAATAAAGCCTGAGCTTTCAGAAGGAAGGGTGACTCTGCTTACTATTTCACCCTGATGCAATCCTGTGTAATGTGGAGGAGTTTATTGTTTCCATGACACAAGCTCCATTGCCTACAAGTTAAACTTTTACACAGAACAGATTTCTAGCAAACTTAGAAACATATTTATGGAAGGCAATTTTTCTTTATTGTCCTGATAATTATGATTTTTCTCATCCAGATTTGTAAAGGTTTTTAGTACCGGTAATACAGTTTTGTATGTATCTTGAAGCTTCTCTGTGAGTCCTTTAAGTCAGTCTTTGTATACATTTACTTCAATATGCTTGTCTGGGCAATCATCTCATCTGTGTTAGGGCTCATGAGATAACTGCCTAGTCATTTAATAGCTATTTCAAGAGTACCCACAAGGTGCATACTTTAACCTTTGATTTCTGAAAGCCTTACCTCCCATCTATCATAACTTTGTGAAACGTCACATTTTTCAGAGATGAACGACTTCACAACCATGTTATTCTAGTATTAATGATGACACATGACTTAGGTTTAATGTACACAGCACTTCAGGGTGGACTTCTGATTACTGTGTAAATAACCACTATTATTATTTTTTTGATGACTGAAGCAGGAAATGGCTGGAGTCCAGTTTCGCAATGTGGGACAAAGACTTTTCTGTAGAAAGCTTCTCAGTACCTAAACCATTTTTAATTCAGTGGACTGAAGGGAAATAAGTTGATCAAGAGAGAGAAAGGCTAGCTGGGCAGGTTGCACACACCTATAATTCTAGCACTGGGGAGGGGCTGAGGCAGGAGGATTGCTGTGAATTCAAGGTGAGCCTGGACTACATTAGCAAGACGCTGTTTCAAAAAGTGGGGTGGGGCTAAGTAAAAATGTAAAGGTTTGGTGCTATTTGATTAGATACACTTATCTAATTAATGGTTGTTAAATATAAATGTTCACGTTACCTTGTTACAGGGAGCTGCTCTGAATCATCTACAGCCGGAAGACAGATCACCTAAACTGTTTCATCTGTTTTCCCTCAAGTCCCTGAAGGAGCAGGCTATATAAAGTCACTGACCTCACGCCTTCATTTCCTGTTCACCCCCGTGTACAGTTGGTTTCTGGCTCCTCCCTCTGGAATTCCTCTGTAGGCAACATTCTTATTGGCAAACGCAATGACCCTTTTTTTCCTGACACCTCTGCTGCCTTTCACAATGCCACACCGTTTCCT